ATCCTGAAAGAATATTTCACTACTCCTAAATTTATTGCTGAAGTTTATCCTATGGAATGGGAATTTAAGAAGAAATGGACTGTTCCAGTAGTGGGTCCAGCCATTTCAGTTTTCAAAACATCTTACAGTTCCTAATCAGAAATATGAAAAAATGTATCAGCTGCACTTCACTTTTAGCTCCCCTTACCGTATTTATTAGTTGTCAACAAAATTACTGCATCAACCTTCCTTGATCAATTTCCCCACTCCTGGCTTGCTCACAAGGATAAGGGAAGATACATTACATTGTTGTAAGCAGTCATTTTGTTGACAACTAATAAATACAGCAACAGGAGATAAGAGTGCAGTTACAGGAGCTAAGAATGCCGATACATTTTTTCATATTTCTGTTGGGGAGTGGAAACAGACTACAGTGGCCAACACCCAAATTGTCCATGTACAGGAGGGGTGAGTCTTGAGTGGAGCTGTGGATTTGGATCTGTTACCTTACAGTTCCTATTGTGGATGTTTCCTTTTTTAAGGATCTTATTGATAGGTGGCTGGAAGCCATCCTAAAGGCCTTCTTTGCTCTTGCCAGCCCTGTCCTGCAGCCAGCTACTGCTGCATGTCTATTTGCCAGACTATTTATAACTGGACAAGACAAAAAAAAAGAAACCAGGAACCTGTCCTTGAGGACCCTGCTATCTTAGAACATTTACAGCTGATGCACTTAGCTTTATTGTTTGGTGTTGATGTTCTACAGATTGTGCATATGAGTAGAACGTTATGGTTAAAAGTTTGGTCTGCTGAACCTACTTGTTATCTTCTACACATGCCTTTTGATGGTGAACGCCTATTAGGGGAATCCCTTGATACATTTATCAAGGACGTCACTGGGGAAAAGGTACTTCTACCTCACAAGAAACAGCATCCTCTTCTACAGCTACTACTTCTGCTCAGACAAAAAAGTTCATTTCACTCTCCCCAGACATCAGTTTCCAAACCACAGCATTACACCTTCTTTTGATGCTAGTCCTGGGATCCAAAGTCCACCAGGCCTGTCCAGAAACCTTGCAAGTTTCAGAAAAACAAAAGAAAGCAGATTTAATGACTGTCTTGCACCAATTTCCAGCATGAGGAATGGCTTTTCCAGTGCCTTCAGAAGAAAGTTACGTATTCAAGCCAAAACCATATGAGCATCAGTAAACATACATGTTTCCTATATACACATCCCCATCCTTCCCTCACATCAAGACTTTCTGTGTTTTGCCATGGAAGACCAACACTTCCAATCTGTAGCAGTACCATTCATGCTCTCCTTTCCACCCTGAGTGTTCACAAAAGTACTTCCCTCCTGCTGGCTGTTCTGCAGACCCAGGGCATTTATGTCACAGGTTACCTGTAAGACCTCCTACTGATACTCTCCTCTGTGAAAGCTCACATTCCAGCTCTCTCAGCCATCATCATTCTTGAAATGGACAAGTGGCAAGTTGACTTCCTAAGTCGTCAACGTACAGACCTGGGGAAGTCGTATCTGCACCCGGATATCTTTTTAAAATCTCTGTAAAAGGTGGGGAAAACCAGATGTGGACATCCTGGTAATCCAGGTTTAACAACAATCTTAACAAAATAAATATCCAAGACCAGGGAATCTCTAGTCTTTGCAGTAGATTGATTCCTGGAATTCAATTCAAACTGGTTTATGCCTTCCCTCTAATGAAGATCCTCCCACAACTGCTGCGTGAGATAGAGGAGGAAAAGATTCCAGTGACTCTCAGTAAATTGGCCCAGAGAACATGGTACAGACATACTCAGACTTTTGGCAGATGACCTTGGTCTTTTCCAAACAGGTTCATGCTTACTGGCCCAAGGCCTTCTTAATTCAACCTGCTTTCAGTCACTGGATTTACCAGCACAGTTGTTGAAACTCAAGTCCTAAAGGCTATAGGTATTTCTACCTCTGTTATCCCCACCCTACTCAGAGCAAGAAAATACAACTCTGGCAAGATTTACTGTCACTCATGAAAGGCTTACATTGCTTGGTGCGAGGACAGGAAACTAAGTCCCAGTGAATACTCAATCATTCATACTTTCGCCTATGTTTTTCTGGTCTTGGGCAGCATCTGGCCTTGAGTACCCTTAAGGAACAGATTTCTGCCCTATCAATTCTTTTCCAAAAACTTCTTGCCTCACAATCTCTAATCAAGACTTTTCTTTTGGGAGTTGATCGTATAAATCCCCCAATTTGACTCCTATGTCACCTTGGGATCTCAACCTGATGCTCTCTGTACTTCAGACACCCTCTTTGAATCGTTTAGAGATATTCCATTGGAATACCCCCAATTGTAAATTTGTCTTTCTGGTGGCCATTACATCTGTTCGGCTAGTTTCTGTGTTGGCAGCTTTTCCTGTAAAGAGTCTTTTCTTTCTTTGCACAAGGAAAAGGTGGTTTTGAGATAAAAACCTGCCTTTTTACATGGTGATTTCTTCTTTCCACCTTAATTTGTACATTGATCTTTTTTCCCTTTGTCTTTCCTCAATACTTGACAAGGAAATTGCCCTACGATGCCTGGAATTTACACGTAGGTCAACATTCTTATTTCATTGGTGTGAGTGGACGTTTCCCCAATGTCTTTTCTGCCGTGTTCCTTCCTTCCTATATTTGGAATAGACAAAATATTTGTTCTTTAGCTCAATCAAATGTGGTAATGTGGCTGCACTGTCTGATTCTTTACAACATGCTTTAGCTAATAATTCGCTGATGCTATGCAGGCAGCTGACATCCTCCTTATCAACTGATGATGTCATTGGTTGTCAGGATGCTGGCGACTAGAAGGTTGTAATGGTGCACAATGATAACCTGTGGCTTTGTGTAACTAACAGGCAGGCTTGTTCTACCTGCTGGCTTGTATACCAGTTTTGGGCCATTTTTAGACATTTTGCCAAGGCACCCCTGAAGAAACCTCAAGGCACCCAGGGTGCCTGGGCACTCTGGTTGAGAAAGGCTGGTGTAAAGAATGTGCTCAGAAATGTCATGTCTTGCTTGTGTGATTGGCCTACTGATTTCCTCAGGAGTCTGCACTAAGATAAAAGTCAAATATTAGGCATCCCGTGCAAGAGATATTCCCTAAAAATCCCTAAAGGGATGTTGACACTGCAGCTTTCCACACTAGAACACAGACCATGTATCAACTGATTATAATGAACTGGTGACTAATATTCAGAATCAGTTATTTGCAATCAGAATGGTGAAACAAGCAGCTATTTTTTCACAGCAACAAAAGGTAGTTTGGTAAAATCCCTGCAATATACATTTCTCAACAAATGTGGAGGTACTCTTTAAGGTTGGTGTTGTCCAAGTTACAAAGCCCTCCTTTTATACCTATTTGTGACATTTTCTTGACATTACTGTCCTGTATGGGTAGCCTTTCTTGTGGTCATCACTTAAGTCTAAAGGGTTTCTGAGTTTTGAGACCAAGGACCTCCTTTTTTCCCCCACAGTGGTTTATGCCTCTCACCTTAATGAAGATATAGGGATTGATTTACCAAAGGCAAATAAGCTGTTCACTTTTCAAGGAATGTGGCACTATGCCTTCCCCACTGTTAGATCAATTTGGTTTGTTGCAGGCTGGTCGGTAAGTGAGCTGGGAATTTTTGTTCGGAGCTGGGAGCTGGGAATTTTTGTTCGTTGTTTTTGTAAGGGGAAATTCATTCTCTCAATCAACATTAACTGGTTTTAATCCTTACACTGTTAACATTAGTAAATAGATAGGAAGATATAATATATTTACTGGTTTTAAACTTTTTTTTACATGTCTTCAGTTACTTCCTGGTTTCCAGGCCTAGGCAAATTATGTCACACATTCCAGTCTTCAGGAGGAAAGGAGGGGTTTTCTCAGTGTGCATGCCTGAGCTAAGGGGATATAGATTCCAGGAAATAAATGCTACATGAATCATCTCTTTTTCTAAATGCTATGGGGTGTTTTTCAAAGAGATTTATCAGCAAAAAGACTCTCAGAGTTTGCTCTGAAATGTAAAAATTAAATAAATAGCGTTTTTGGTTTGTGATGCTCAGATACAGTGTAGTTCCACTTCAAGTACTGCTGACCTCCATCATCCAATCATGTGCAAGTAAAAATGCAGTTTTTTTGTTATTTACCCGTGATTGGGTATTCTTTGCAAACTGAAATTTTACCATTTACATTCACTAAGCTTTGGGGATATATTTTTTGCGGAGTGCAACTTCACTTGGAAAGTGAACACTGTATTTGCTCTTAGTAAATCATCTTCATTGTGTTACCTACCCTTTGTCTGGCACTGGTTATCCCCAAGGAGGTCTTAGTCTTTCCAATGCCTGGCTGTTTACCTTTCTGTCAGTATTTCCTTTAGGTAGACAGATTGATCCGTTTGTTATTCGAGAACAATCTAAAATAAGGTCTCTAGCTCCAGATCCACTATTTATAAGTGGTTTTGATAGGTCGCTGTGTAGGCCTGTGAGTTGTGAGAAAAGTGTCTCTTTTCTTGTTTAAGCCCATTCCACTAGAACAGTGAGTAATTCTGCATTTTTCATCACCAGACTTCTATGTCTTAGATCTGTAAGACTGCACCCTGATCTTTTGTACATACGTTGTCTACGTTTTTATGGCCAGGGTGTCTGCTTTGGCAGATGCTAGTTTTGGTCAAAAGATCCTGCAAGTGTTTTTTTTCTTTTTGAACTGTTAGCAACAACTCAGAAGGTGTGAGGGGGCATAGCTTCAATGGGTGTTGGCCTTCAATTTTCTATGTGTCTAGTGTTCATTTTTCCTGCAGGCAGCAATATAACCCTAGGTTACTTATCATCAAGCTGTATGCCTCGATGGACTCCAGGCAAAGGATTTTATGGGGAGCACAACATTTTATTATGTGATTCTCGTTATGATACTCATTATGAATTACACAGCATTTCCTTCTAAATTCTTAAACTGAGGGAACATTCCAACATATACTGGCACAGATGTATAAAAATATTTGCTCCCACTTACTTCATCTGTTCTCTCACTCCAATGAGGTGTCTGAAAATGAGCTGAGCCTCTAGATCAGGATTCAAGAGATCATTCCATTCCTGTAATGTGACTTCATGTCGTGTTTTGTCACAGCCAGCAACTGATTTACACAAGACCACAGAAAAACAGACAGGTCACTGTACTGTACTGAATCACAGATTTGCTTTTTATTTACCTTTAATATCTGGCATTTTACCTACTATGTTTTGCAAATTCTACTTTCCCTTTTTATTGTAAGTAAAATACATCCATAAAATAAAGGCTTTTATTACTGTATGCATTACACTGTAAATATTGATACCATAGGAAAATAATGCCTGTATGCTGTATGGAAAGCTGTTAGGGGGTCATACAATAGACTGGGAATAAAGCAGTAAAAATTTCCAAGGAGACTATCCTGGAATTAATTTAGAAGAGTCTGTGATGGAAGCAATCACTTCACCATTGTTTGCTGGTTTTGGAATTCGAAATTTACTAATTGTGGGCGATTTCTACATAATTTTATTTTTTTACATACGTGCAGGATCTTCATTTTAGAGTTTACCTCCCAGTAACACAGTATCGGGAATGGAGTCATATTTGATATACACATTCTCCACAGAAGCTCAAAGAAAATAAATGCATTAACTAGGCAGCTGCTTTTGTACAAGTAAAGGTCAAGTTTAAACTTCTTAATCATTGCTCTTATGAACAGAGAGTGCTATTGTAGAAAAAACAAACAACATACACTGTATGGTACTGAAATTACTGTGGACTCTGATACCACATTAAAAGTAAAAATAAATGACTGGGTCATTTGCACACGTTTGAACCAAACTGTGCAATTTCCTGAGGGATGGTTTAGCAATATATATACACCATATATTTATACATACACACATTTTATATGCCTGAGATAGGTAGGTTTCCTTGATCCATTCAGATGTTTTTCTGATTAAAAAGCTCTTTTGAAAGCGTTTTATTATGACAGAAAATTGCCCACATGTATTGCCTTGACTTCTCTTCCCAGCCTTCTCTCAACACTATTGGTAATCAACTGAGCTCTTTGGGAATGGTGGGGTTGGTTACACTTCTTGCAATATATTACAGGTAGCTGCAGTTCACAGCACCACAATTTAACAACTCTGTAATACTTTAAAATTTAGCTATTACAACTGGTCCAAAAAAAGCCAAGTTGCTAGATGACAGTATGTTAGGAGCATGAAAAGCAATCATAACCATGACATTTCTCAGTTCTAATGTCTTACTGAATATTGTAACAATTTGTACTGGTTTAAACAAAAGCAAGTGACACATTTGCTTGGTTGAATTCTAAAACAAGATACAAATGCAGTGCTAACTAAAGAATCATTAATAATCAACACCATTTCTTGTGTATTTCTATAAATTGTGAGCAATACCTCCTTTGTCCTTCTGGTGGCAGCAGCTCCATTTCTCTCCTTTAAAAACTCCAGGATGATATGAGCACAGCATGTTGGCGTTGTTGACACAAGCCTTTCGCAAAGCTGACAGCCACTGATTCAGTTCATTAACACACTAAAATAGATCGATATATTTATTTTACTTTTTAAACATACAAGTTTTAAAAGGGGGTGCTTGGCAAGTATTTTTTTTACATCCGTAAGTGGCCAGTCAAAAACTGGGTATGAAAGATTGAAGTGTGTGTTCTGCTCATTATTTATTTATTTCAGGTACTTATATAGCGCTGTCAATTTACGCAGCGCTTTACGTATATATTGTACATTCACATCAGTCCCTAACCCTCAAGGGGTGTGCAATCTAAGGTCCCTAACTCACATTCATATACAAGGGCCAATTTAGACAGGATCCAATTAACCTACCAGCATGTCTTTGGAGTGTGGAAGGAAACCAGAGTACCCGGAGGAAACCCCACACAGGCACAGGGAGAACATGCAAACTCCAGGCAGGAGGTGCCGTGGCTGGGATTCGAACCAACGGCCCTAGTACTGCCAGGCGGAAGTGCTAACCATTTAGCCACTGTGCTGCCCATTACACCTGTGCACATTTGGTGGGCATGCCTTCATATTGTGAACCTGAACTTCACATGTAACATTTGAGCCACACCAACCTATAGAAAGGACACTGACTAGCTGTATATGTTTTTTTTTTTCTGCAAAGTGGTTGGTCCCCCAAAAAAATCAGTGGACAGACAATGATTAAACAATTCTGTAAACTTTGACTGTCAAAAAAAATCAATTGAAATCTGTGCCTTTAACATTCACCATACTATAAATATGGAAATGTTAAAAAGACTTGCATTTCCCTACTGAAGAATGAGAAACACAGATATTTGTCAAATGCTATGCAATCCAGCAAACACACAAGAGATGGGTGTTTGGCAGTAAGTATCTCCAATACTAACAAATAGTAACAACATAATGTAACTAAATGAATATGTTAATGTATACGTTCATTGCTCAATCCTATTTACACAATAATGTTACAGTCTCAGTGACATTGTTTGTTCTTAAAATGCAATTTATCAGTACCTTACACTGCAAATATAACGCTTCCAGGCTCCCAGTTTCATCTGTGTAAATGATCTGCATTACGTTGGAATTTCCAAAACACTTTTCTTCTACCTTTTCCAAGGCTCGGATTCTTGATAGAGGTATAAATGAACTTGTCTGTAAAAAAAAAATAAACCCTTCCATAAAGTAGAACTAGCAACATAATTTTTTTAATTTTAGATAAATAAGGGAGGGTTATAACCCCTGTCAGGCTTACTTTTGTCATCTGTGTCCCATTGGAGAAATTTACCTTCATTTCCTGTCCAGTAGCCAAAAGAGGAAGTGAAAGGAATTCCCAGGATTACCAGATCTAGTCATTGGAAAATTTCTATTACTCATTTATACCTCCTTTATTACTGTTCTGGGGAAAAACTCAACTTATGGGATTTTCTTTAACTTTCACTTTCGATAAAAACAGTAAATATGGCAAATAGCAAAGTCATTCCCTGGTGTCCAGTAGTGCTTTTCTTCCCTCCTGCATGGCTGGCTCAGTGGAAGGAAGTGTAGATATATGTTACTTTCTCGTAGCGCTGCCACGGAGTAGGAGTAAAGATGAATGAGCGCAAGGGCCATGGGACCGCTTTGTACGTGCACCATGCGCATCACCTTTATGGGACAGGCTGGCCGCAATAATATAAATGTTAAGGCTGACCGTATTTGCGGTCCCAGCCTTCTTAACAACTATATTAGTGCGGCCAGCGTTTTTTATTAAACTATGTTGTCCAGGCACTGGATGTTTTATTGGGACATTAGAGAGGCCTGGGGGGTACTTACCCTGTGGCTCAGTCCGCCCCTGGTCACGACCCACTTTTGGGTCGTGACCCATTACTTTAGAGACATGGGATTAGAGGAGGCAAAGTATAAATTGATGCTATCTGTCAAATCAAAAGTAGTGCTGGGTATAGGTTATGGTGAGAAAAATAGAAGGTGCCAAAGGCATTGGTGATTTTTTTAAGGGTATGTAATGTTTCTTCTCTTTTGCAAAGTAATTGAGGGAATATTTGAGAGAGTATTGGCATTGGCTATATCTGTCATTGATTCATAAAAGGTCTTAAGACATCGGGTAAGGTTGGCTTTGGCTTTGTAAGTTTAAAGTTATGTGAGTTGGTGTCTTAGGTATGATAGTTTTTCATTAAACCTCTGGGTTTAGAGTACATTTATGACTGGAGGAGTTCTGATTTGTGGATGTCCACAAGAACCTGTTTGATTTTGTCCATTCTTTTCCCTTTCACTCCCTTCTCCCTTTGTACTCATGGTACATGTTTTATAAATATATATATATATATATATATTATAAATGTTGAATTTATTTAAAACCATAATAGGTTATACACTACATTCTTGCTCCATTGTTGCAAGAATCAGGTCACAAGTCACATAATGTATATTCTTTTGAGAAGTGCAATACACTGGAGGAGAATTACCAAAACTAGAACACTAAGAATCTGGTGCAGCTTTGCATGGTAGCCAATCAGCTTCTAACGTCAGCTTGTTTAATTAAGCTTTGGCAATAAAACTGAAAGTTGATTGGTTTCTATGCAGAGGTGCACCTGATTTTGCACTCTTAAGTTTTAGTAAAAACCTCTACTGTATTACAGTGATATATTGTTTGCACTATATTATTCCTGCATATGGAGTGGGAAAGGATAAGAACCCCTGTCAGGTTTTACTGCTATCCTGGGCTCCATTACGGACATTTCCTTCCAGTTATTGTTGTGGTGACAACTGTTCCAACAGACAGGAAGCAAAAAACAAAATCTCCCACAGCAAACAAGGTTGTAAGAGTATTTGTTTTTTAATTGAGCATGGTAATGCTAGAACTTTGGTCAGCTTCCTATTTCTGTCTATCTAATTGCAAATTTTCCCTCACTTCCTTTATATGTGAAACTGTTGTCAGCAAGAGAGGAAGTTAGAGAAAAACACTCTAATAATGCCCCTGAAAAATTGATATAAGTTCTTATCCTTCCACACTAATAGAAATGTTTTTGGCTCACCATGACTTTATTTATCTGGTACACATTACTATATAGGAAGGGGAACCGACCAAGATCCTCCTGGGAAGCCCTCTGAGAACTCCTCTGCACCAAGATGGGAGAAGAAACAGATCCGTGAAGAAGCCACGGGAGACGCCACCACCGCCAAGACCCGGGAGAAGCCCCTCCTCCGCCAACCTCCACCCCAGGACCGCTGTCGGCCCTGCTGACGGTCTCCCTCCCTTGGAGCCTGGCATGAAGCAGACAGTCGTGCTGCGGCACGTCGAATGAAAGCGGTGGGACGGCAGAATCCCGGAGATGGACCCCGGAAGTCTTTGGCAGAAAATGATCTTGAACAAGGATTCAAGCAAAGCAGAGACCCTGTCCGGTGCAGTCATTCGTGAAAGGTTTGTTCACTTGTCACATTTGTTCCCTACAGGTGTGCAAGAAGGTACTGGGAATTGGCAGTGAAGACCGCTGGACCCGACTCCTCTTCCGAAAAGTTCGCTGCGAACTCTCCCATTCAAAGGGACGAAAGAGGATCACCGGTGTCATGAGGAACCCTCACGTCCCCGGCAGAGACATAGCCACCTACACCAAAGGTTTTGTGTCGTTTGAAGGACAAGTCCGGATACTAGACACAACGGTTCTGGACTTGGTAAGTGGGCTGTGTTTTGCAGCTACTAAGAGATCGTCCGCCTGGAGATTCAACACCTGCAACAATGACTTCTCCCTGGGATTCGTCATCAGGACTCTACACTAACCAGACCTACCCCAGTATGCCGCATAGTGCGGCCAGCCGGGGCACGAGGGGTCAAGGAATGCAGTGTGCACTTTCTTGTAGGTTCTGTAGGTCTGCAGGTCACTGGAGACCAAGGATTGCAAAAGGTCCAGAAACCTGCAACCTTCTGTGGGACTGGTCGAGCGAGCAGGTCTACAGAGAACTGGACAGAAAGAAGCAGGACGTTACGCCGGGTGGTCCTCTGAGCAAAGGGCGGGCCACCAAACCAACGCACACAAAAAGCCTCCAGAAAGGAACCGCGTGTAAAGAGGAAACCCCCCCAGGCCCCAGGTTACCCCTGCCCCATGGCCCCAGGGCCTCCCCTGCCCCCTGGTCCCCGAGCCGCTGGCCCCCCTGCCCGCTGGTCCCCTGCCCCTGCCTGGCCCCCCCGCCCTGGCCCACTGCCCCTTGCCGCTGGCTCCCCCCTGCCCCTAGGTCCCCCCTGCCCCTGCGCCCCACTGCCCCTGCCACTGGTCCCTCTGACCGGCCCCCGGCCCCTTGGCCTGTCCCCCTGCCACCTAACCCCTCTTTTTGCCCCACCTTGCACCCAGCCCAGGGTTCCCACCCCCCCGGGACCTGTCCCTCCAGGTACGGCCTTTCCGCCCTTCCCCCTGTACACCTTGTCAGCCAAACTCTGCGGACGGGAGTGCTACCAGGCCGCGTGAAAAACACACAACGCACGCGCGAAGCAAGCCGGAGGCCGGTCGGCACACATACCTCTGCCACCCAGGGCCTGCCGTCCTCCACGAATGCCGCAGGCCACCAGACCTCGTGGGGGATGGACACTCGCACACGCTGGACGGCCGACGGAGGTGGCGGACGACGAATGGCTCAGACCGAGTCGGAACCAGATGCTCTCACCACCGAACCTTCCAATGAGGTTCTTAACGAAGCGGTTCTCAATCAGCTCGGACTGGCGACAGGACCCACCTAGTCAGGGCTAGCCAGAGGTCACAGAGGTCGCCCCCCCTTCCCAGGGTGAGGTAAGCACAGCCCTGCCGAACTCACCCCTTCATCTCATTCCACTTGCTGATGTCTGAAGATATCGATTTCTTTTCCATTCTATTGTGAGGAGCATAACAGGCCGTTGTCTAGTAGAGGCAGACTGTGCTGACATTTCTTTCCACACAGCCTGGAGCCGTGCTGAGTACATGCTTTCAGGCGATGTGCGCACTCTCCCCCCTATGAGTGATCGGTACACTCATTTGTCCTCCCAGTTGACCACGGTCCTCTTACTGGTCTGGGGTGGTGGCGATTGCCAGTCAGCGAGGGTGTTTGCGGTTTCTTATCAGGGCGAAGACGTCTTCAACTCGTTTGACTCCGTCCATGAGCTCGTCTGTGGCCGCCTTTCTGGTCATCAGATGGTTCGTAGGTCGAGGGAGACCGTTAGGCTCTATCACACGTGTACCGCTCCCCTGGAGAAGAGATCGCGAGGCTGTAATTCTTTTCAAAACACTGCGGCCGCCATATCTCGCCACAACGAGAACAGTAGTAATCGGCGGTGATTTTTAACTGTCCGATATTGAGGAGGACTCGGGCGCAGCTCCAGCATGTACGCAAAACTCTAGACGCCACCTCGATGCTGCTCCGGGAGAGATGATCTGCAGATGGCTTCCCTGCGAGACTGCAGTGGTTGGGATCCGTGGGGGCGCATGGTTCACTGTGAAAACTACTCATGGAGCCGCCCCGTATGGATCTCGTAGCGCTCCAGGGATTGACTTTAGTCGCTTCCCCTCCCAGACGGCTCAGTCAGGCTACCGCGGGGCTCTCCATGGTTCCCTGCTTTTTCTCGTGACCCCACAGGGCCATTCACTTTCAAGGTGATTCTGCGGAGGAGAGAGGGCTTTGCCCCGGGCAAGGCTCCTCTGAAGCTGAATTAGCAAACCTGCTGGGGCGATGAGGAACTGCTAGCGGAGCTCAGGGATATTCTACGGTGCCTGGGCGTGATGGAGAAGTTCTTTCTTTCCTATGGTCAGCGAACTTGGTGGGAGTTCGTGAAAGGTCAAGCTGCGCGCTTCTTTTCAGGCCAGGGGACGCCAGCAAGTGAGTTTCTTGTGCCAGGAGGAAGGAACTCAGTGATGGCTGCTGCGTCAGCTGCTGTCCCTGCAGGACCTTTCACCCACTGTGGTTGGGACGTTGCAGGCAAGAACATGCGTGGACACCAAGAAGTGCTTGAAAAAGCGCTTTGGAGGAAGTATCCAATAGCAACATTGTCTTCCGTGCCAAAGTGGAGATCTCGAGGGGGTGAGAGAAGTGTAACTCTGTTCTTTCTTCATGGAAAAACTCCCACTCAGGACAAACACCCCTGTCCGGAGCTGCCGTGTCAAGAACTAGAAACACTCCAGAAGGGGGAAGGAGGCCGTTGATGGACAGTTGGTCAGCGACTAACTACTCCGACTCCTCTACATCCCCTAAATGAAACAATAAACTCGAGAAGCGGCCCGACAGGTTCTTGTCAGGTATCTCTAAACACATTATTGATCCTAGCAGGTTTTGTCGGACACCAACGGCCCCTTGACGTTGGAGGAGCTGCACTCTGCCGCTAAATCCTTTAGGCAAGGCAGGGATCTCCCCGGCTGCGACGGTCCCTCCCAGCGGAGCTTTAATGTAGCGCTGTGGGATCTCGTGGGACCCGGACATGCTCGAGCTGTACGAGGAGATGGTGGTGGAGGGCAAGATGCCTCCTTCGTTGAGGGAGGGGGATGATCACGATCCCTGTACAAGCGTAAGGGGGAGGAGATGTGACTTGGAAAAATTGGCGTTCCCATCTCTCTTCTGAACGTGGACTACAAGATCTCGCCAAGGTCATGGCGAACAGGACTGAAGGCTGTCATCGGACAGATCATCAACCGGATCAGGACTTGTGGCATTCCTGGCCGCAGGATTGCGGACAGCCTAGCGCTTGTCCGGGACACGGTCCATATACATCCAAGGACCTTCGCGTGTGCAACGCGGCCCTGGTCAGTCTTGATCAGGAGAAGGCCTTGACCGTGTCTCCCATGGGTTTATGTGCTGAGCCCTGCGCAAGGTTTCGGTCTCGGGGAAATGTTTTGTTCATATGTTGACATCATTGTATAAATCGACATCTAGTAGTTCCGTGCAGGTGAACGGACTGGAAGACTGACCCCCTTCCCGGATTCTCCTTCCCGGGGTCAGACAAGGCTGTCCTCTCTCACCTCCTGCTTTTTGTTTGCTGTATAGAGTCTCTTCTCAGTCCGAATGCATTCAGACAGAATCCAGAGATCGGGGGAATCACCGCACCGGGACCAGACAGGACGGAGAAAGTGAAGTGTCGCTCTACAATGGACGACGTGACGGTTTTCTGTGCCAACCAGCGCTCCATCGACACTGCTCGTCCAGACCTGCGAGGGACTTTCGGCCAAGCTTCGGGGGCCAAAGGTCAACTGCGGGAAGTCGGAAGTCATGCTCTTCGGAAAAGTGGTTCCTAAGCCTCTTCTGCATCCATGCCTTTGGCATTCAAGACAGACTTCATGAAGATTTTGGGAGTTTGGGTTTGGTGCACTTTTTAGGGCGCAGCCCTGAAGTCTTGGGATTGGAGAGACTGGCCAAGATGCGCCAAAAGTTTGGACTTCTGGAGCCTAAGAGACCAAAAAAACACCATCGAAAGGGAAGACACACTGGTACTCACCGCAGACGAGATTCTCCCTGTGTTGCAGTACCTCGCCCAGGCCTGGCCCCCGGCGTCAACACCTGCAAGGCCATCACCCAGGGCGGTGTTTTCACTTACATCTGGGGCTCCAAGATGGACAGAGCGAAGCGGGCAGTCATGTTCAAGGAACCCCTCAGGGCGGGGGGGGCGGTAAGGGCGTGCCCGACATCGCCACCCAGCTGAGGGTGTTCTTTGCTTGCAACTGCGTCCGCAGAACTTTGCCCAAGACGGGACTACGGACTCTGGCGGGACACGCAATTGTCTCGCTTCTTCCTGTTGCCTCTCTGGAGGGTCCCTTGGGGTGGGACACTTGGGGGATAGTTCCATCCCCTACAACTGGGACACTCCTTGGTTCTACCTTGGATACCTTCAAGTTCATCAGGGAGCAAGTGGCTGCAGGGAGTCAAGCCGGACTTGGGGGGGGGTGGAGCCAAAGACGATCTACAAGCTCATCCGAGCCATAAGCGACATTTTGGAGTCGGTTCACCCCCCCCCAGGCATGCCCTTCAGACACCTGCAAGGTGGTCTGGAGGAATGTTTCTTCCAACATCCTCACACAACAGGCACAAAGACCTGGCATGGATGGCTAGTCCAGGGGGACTGCCTCTCAGGACAGTTATGCATGACAGGAACCTGAGCATGATAACAGACACTGCCCGCCTTCTGCATCGATCCATGAGGAAACGTCTTACCACGTTTTCTGGGACGTGCTCATTTGCTCAGCGCCTGTTGGGGGCCCTGGAACCTGAACTCAAGGACTTTTGTGCCCACCAGACAGCCATCACTTCACTTTGGGGTGTGAATGGACTGTTACTGTGGAACTTTTTTCTTTGGAGGACATTGACGGCGCCTGGGGACGTGCTGTGACTGTTTTTAAGGACGCTTTATGGTGCGCCAGAAAGCGCCTCATCCACCAGCGGGACGAGGATGTCCATTGAGGACTGCCGCAAGACTGATCCTCAGTCTGCTCAGAGCACTATTCCTTGTTGGACTTTAAGGAGGAAGAGGACACGTCTGAAGATTTCCCCCTTCCCCTACATCCCCTTGCGTGTCTTTGTCCTTCAATAAAGCTTCGGGCCTGTGTTTCCCCCCTTCCCCTCCCCTTCCCCCCCCCACACACCCGATGCCTATTGTTGATAGTGTTTTTTCAGTTATCTTTTCGTGCATGACATAGTGACTAGGAAATGTATAGTGTATTAGGGCATGCTACAGTTTTTTTGGGGTAAGCGGAGTCATGCATGACGTGGTGATACCGGGGATTCATTCCTCTGTGCCACATCACGTCAGGCATCATAACGCTGAGCCGAATGTATTTATTTGCCTGAATGTATTTATCGTATGTTTGGAACTGTATTGCTATGTGGTGCATGCTGCGTTCGCAGTACAGGGTGAGATGTACCCCGATTACACGTAACATGTTATGTTTTTGATGCTTCATGCAATAAAAGTTCATTTAAACCCTCATGTCTACTAATTTTAGTAAGCAGTGCCTGGTTTCTTTGAACAAAAACCTAAGTTCTTTGCACTGCTCCAGTGAATTCTGGTGCAGTGCAAAAAAAAAAAAAAAAAAAAGTAATATTAGCAGAGACCTTTGTACTGGGCAAAGCAGAAATGTCAGATCCGAAAATATTTGATTGGACTGTGCTTTCACTTAAAAAATGCAAAAAGTAGCTTTACTAAAAGTGTTTGAACAGTACAAAGGAATAAAGAATATGAAGATAAAAGGTGATATTTTATATTTTTTTACCTTTGAAAACATGTGTCTTGGCAAAATTTAAGGCATCAAACAGTTAGTGAAGAGGAAAAGCTTTTTGAGTAGGTATCCTTTGCATTTAGTTTTGTAGACCATTAACTGACCTTCTTTAACAGTAAGGCTCTGAAGATTTAGTGACTTCTGTAGATCTAGCTCTGCAAGATAACAGCCCATATAATAAATGCAATGACCAGCTTAATTAAACATGCAGTTGTGCATTTTCCTTAGTGTCCTGTTACATCATGATATTACAAAAGCAGACACGCAGCTTAAAATACTGACAATTGTAATGATCCTTTCAGATCCATTTGGTGTCAATGGAGTCAATGTATTTTTTTTCGTCTCTCTGTGCATTTCCTTGTGTATGTTATTTTATCTCTTCTGTCTATACCTTGCTATGTTTTCTCTTTACAGTGGGGTTTATTTACTAAAGCCGGACAGTGCAAAATCAGACTCACTTCTGCATAGAAACCGATCAGTTTCCAGGTTTTATTGCTAACCCTTAGTTGAACAAGCTGAGGTTACAAGCTGATTGGTTTCTATGCAGAATTGAGCCTGATTTTGCACTCTCCAGCTTTAGCAAATAAACTCCAGAATGCGTCTTGTTTCTTAACCTGTGATTCCTGGTTACAATATACACACTGTTATACCGCTGGGGGGTCGCTAGCCTCTGGTAAGCTGCCTGCACACACACAGTGGTGGCATGTTGCATTTCTGGAACTTGTGAGGGAACACTAAAATATTAAGTCTAGGTTCACACTGTGAACCGCATGTGAATCGCACAGGAATCTCACCGCATTCCTGTACAATTCACATGTGATTCTGTGTGGTGCGATTTGAGCCCATTCATTTACACCTTTGCTCTATTAATTGGACACTTAATTATTTACATTTTGATTTTGTGTCTTTTAGGTAACTGCACTGACACAGTTTGTACATTGATACATGTGTGTTCATATTTAAATTTGTGACAAATTGTTGTGCTATATTTTGGTTTAATTATTATTATTATACAGTATTTATATAGCATTGTCCAAAGGGTTTGCTCAGCGCTTACAGTAGCAAGGGGACAGAACATGGGACAAGACAGTAACAATACAATACACGAGGGGTTCGAGCCCTGCTCTTTCGAGCTTACAATCTGGAGGGAGGGGAAGGTGGTACAGGAGGAGAAGGCTGTGGGGGATGGAGTTGGGGGAGGATGGAGGACTTAGTTGTTAGGTGACGGGTGTTAGGTGAGGTTGGGGTAGGTTTCCCTGAAGAGGAGGGTTTTCAGGGTGCGCCTGAAGGTGAGGAGGGTAGGTGACAGTTGATGGATTGGGGTAGGGACCCAGAGGATGGGGGAAATTGCATTGTAAGGAGTAGAACAGCACTTTGGAGCATCATTTTGGTAATATTAGGTATTATATTACTGTGCTAGCAGCTTTTCATCTATATTTTGCCCTGAGCATGAATCTGTCTAGTTTATATTTAGTAGCCTGGGCAATTTCTGAGCTCATTTTCAACAAATTCTGAGAATCGTGGGGATAACCCAACAAGTTTTGTTTTGCAGATAACCTCACCTGATTATAATGATTATAACATTTCACCAATTACTTGTGTCACTCTAAACTGGGTATCATCTATTATTATTATAATTTTGACTTTAACCTAGACTTTTACTGTCTTTAATATGTTGTTTTTTTTTCACTTTTAATTCACTTTCACTTTGACATTGCTATAACAGACATGTATGACACATTTGATTATTGAACAATGTCCAAATTAAAGTTAAAATTGTTGTTATTAAGCACTAATACCTTCATTTTCTTCAATATCTATAAGTTTGATAATAAATTCCTTCAGTTGTGAAACTCCTTGCTGAATGGTTGGCTGTAGTGGAGCCATCCAGGATTCCTTGGCTCTACTTGCTGGAGCATCCATGTTACCAACATTTTGTATTGCCTAAAATAAACAAAATATTTATTATGAAATGGTAAATATATGAATAAAATATAATTTTTAGTTTCATTTTCTTAATGTTTTATAGTTACTGATTATTTGATGATGTTCATGGAAATGCAAGGAGATATATTTATCGTTTTAAAATTCTTAGTGCTAGCATTTACTTGTGTGTTAATTTAATACTGCAAAACGAACACTCTGTAAAGGGAATGGGTAGAGAATATAGATATGTTCCAGTGATGATTGTTGCAAGCCCAAGTACCAAAACAAGGATCTGGCAGCTGTTATTCCTTATGCTCATTCATTGTGCATGAATGTCCACTTCAAAGACCTCCAAAACTGGAGGGCACACTGCAGGGGAGGACAGGGCAATGGTGAAGTACTGCATCCAAGGACTATATATTTGGCAAGCTTGATTAGGAGGGCTGGGTTAGGTCAAAATTTATTTTAAAGGTGCCTTTATAATTTAATCCCTGTCATCTGTTCTAATCTAGATCCCCACACTCTTACCAATGTACAATATATATGGCAACTGTACAAAGGTTAGATGTTGAAAACAATTGGTGTAATTTACAGTGGTGTTCCTATGTGCTGAATAAATGAAAAATATGCCACACCTGAACCTAATCTACTAGTACCTTCAAGACAACGAGCTTACAGTATGGAGGCAGAGAGGAATGGTTTTTGTCATGGACAGGGGTATCAAGGGTAAAGGAGCAAAGGAGATTGATTTTTAAATGAGGTATCGCAGTCCATCCTGTGTCCTCCAAAACTGACTAGCATGCTCAAGAACCTAATTTTCTCCATTCAGTAACACCTGTTACCAGCAAAATAATGCCATAACTACCACCAGAAGTCAAAGTAATCAGGCCCATAAAGTACCTCACTAACTGAAATGAGAACCTTGTTTAGTGGAGGAAGATGGATGAGAGAGCTTACCTGGGAAGATAAAACCAACTCTAATACCATTTTCACAGCCCTTAATACTGCTGTCCGCCACTAGAAGGATTGTGCCCAGACTATGGAAATTTTATTATTTACATATTCTTAACATACAGCAAAAGATATTTAAAGCAAGTCATTAATGATATAGGCACTCTGGAGTAGTTCATGCTCAAAGATTACAACCGAGACTCTTATGCTGGATTTCAGTCTCTTTCTAAAAGCTTCAACATAACAAGTCCAGTCGACAACTCAGTATCATACATGATGCTATGATTAAGGCCTGATGCCTGAAATGCATTGCCATATTTGTCTTGTATTAACCATCATTAACCATGTAGCCAATAAAAATTAGATTAACAGAGCTATACCAAGTTGCCGCTGGAATTTCTCCTGTATGTTGAAGCTGAGGGTGGAGACAGTAAAGCCAGGTCACTGGTTCCTTAGCTCTTCAGCAGGTCTTAGTTGAGTAGTGCTGATCTGTTACTCTTTCTAAAAGCCCCTGCTGTTTGCTACATTAGAAAGGTAAAAAAATTGGGGAAAAGGAGCTGCAATTTCAGTGCCTCTGTCATGAATTTTGAAGATATATTTCTCTCACAATGAAGATACATTTCTCCACAATTACAGGGGATGGTAAGGGTATTTTAAAGCTATTTTAATGCTTGCTAAAATTAATAATTTAATGTAGTTAGTCTGATGCATGTGACTTGAACACGGACTTCTTTTTGACTATATACCAAAATATCATTAAATATTTTTTTCATCCTCATTGTGGATATGAAATAAAGAAACAAACAGTGATAGGTTGACATTTATAATGATTCATCCCTAAATTTTCTTTCTTGTGGTTCTTCTTTGAATATGATCCTACAAAAAACACACAACCTTTATTCATTATTAGAACAAGGCTAAATACAGCACCGGACACATTCGTATGCTACTAGAGTACATACCACAATTTTATTGGTGTACATTTAAAATAGTCCCAGTTATTATTTATTTTTTTTTTACAGTTAGACTAGCATGGCACAGAAAATATAAAAGCAATTCTAAGCATTCCCTGTATAGTCTCTGTATCACATGTGATATAAAAACAGACATTACCTTAGCCAAGAGCAACAGTGTCCGGCTGGTCCGAGCATCTGCATGTTTTTCTCTGAGATGGAAAAGCTTAGGAGACATGACAGCAGGAGAGAAAAAACCGAAGACACAAGAAACTGGTAACTGCAATAAACTTCACATTCTGGAAAACAAAAAGACCAACAAAATTACAAAAAAATATTAAACCAGGACATTTTATTATATGCAGAAATAAGTACACCACATAAACCAGAGGAGCGTCGAGTTAAACATACAAGGTAGATTTACTATAACTGGAGCACAGAATCTGGTGCAGCTCTGCATGGTAGCCATTCAGCTTCTAACTTCAGCTTGTTCAATTAGTCTTTGACAATAAAACCTGGAAGCTGATTGGTTTCTCTGTAGAGCTGTACCAGATTTTGCACTCTCCAGTTTTAGTAAATAACCCCCACAGTGTTGCACAAGAATTTATACACCATGTAAAAAGAAAAAAAAAAAACACTGCAGAAACGGGGGGGGGGGGCGGGGGTTAGGGGGTGTGGTGTATTTTGGATTTTTGCCCAGCGCAGTCCATCAAGATATTGCTTGGTAATTCTAAAATGTGTGCCGGGTAAATAACGAATGGAATTCAAATGGTGCACAACTCATTTTCATTTTTGTAGTTCAAAACTGTTCTTGTTGCAGTGTGAACAATTTATTTTTGTAGACAATTTTAAAGTTGCTAAAGGCTCAATTTTTATGATTATACAGTGCGTTGAAAAAGTATTCATGCCTCTTGAAATTTTCCACATTTTGTCATGTTACAACCAAAATCTGTATATTAAAATTCTCCTTTGCAGCTTCTACAATGCTAGAAAAAGGTCCCTTTCAAAAACCTGCAGGTCCCTTTTTCTCACAAATGTTTTGATGTCACAAAACATCATTTCTGTTGTTTTCCCTAAACCTTGTAGTTTTTTGTTCAGTACATTGAAGTGTAGTGTAAAATCTGTAAAAAACATGAGGGTGGTAAGACAGGCCATATCAGTGAGCTGCAGATATTCCTGCCCCTTTTCATTCATAAATGGCCTAATTTCATCCAAGCAGGCTACAAATCTCTCCAGGACTCGTTCTCTGCTCAGCCACCGGACATTATTCTACATAAGAAAAAGTATTATACTGTGCCTGAACCTGACAGGCCATATCAGTGAGCTGCAGATATTCCTGCCCCTTTTCATTCATAAATGGCCTAATTTCATCCAAGCAGGCTACAAATCAAGAAGTGCTTGAAACTGTCAACAATTAAGAGCTTGAGCCATGATGTAAATCACCCTTTTTGTGACATCGTTGAGGATATCACCTAATGTTTTGCTGCTTTCCCTGGAACAAAGAGCTTCTGGATGTATAATACAGTGAAACTGAATGACTGGATGTTTTGCTTCTATAACAAAGAACTGTATGAAACCAGATGTTACTCCCACCATGCAAGTTCAACGTTATATGGAACAACAAGGCCCACTGTGCCCAGGTAAGAGAAATCCCCATGGATACCGCTGTGCTGCAGGTGACACCACTCTGCTGGGTCCAGAAGCTGGCTGTGTGTGAAGGATCCAGAAGAGGGGGCTGAAATGCTCAAGCATCAGGCACGATGACGTCACTAAAAGAGGTGCAACTCGGTTCCAAGCATGTGAATTGGCGATGGCTGACGGGGAGTAGCAATCTGCTTGCATGCCCACAGACAGGGTATGGCACACGTGTGCCATAGGTTCACCATCGCTGGTCTATCACATAAAATCCAAATAAAATACATTTACGTTTTTGACTGTAAATTTCAAGAGGTATGAATACTTTTTCAAGGCCATGTATGCATAAAGGTAAAAAAACCTTCAGTGTGCAAATGCCCCCCCAGCCCCCCTTAATACTTGCCTGAGCCCCATCTCGATCCAGCAATGTCCACGAGAGCCTCAGCTCTCCAAGGACTCTCACTCCTGGTTGGGTGAGGCAGTAATGGGAGCCAATGGCTCCCGCTGCTGTCAATCACAGCCAGTAAGCCAATCAGGAGAGGGAGGGGGCAGGGCTGAGCCTTGGCTCATGTGTGCACAGACAAGCAGAGCCGCAGCTTGGGAGTGTGCCTGCTTGGGTGCCTCCAGAGCAGGCTGCTTGCTCTTGGGGTACTCAGCAGGAGGGAGGGTCCAGGAATGTCAGTGGGGGACCAGAAAAGAGGATGATCAGGGCTGCTCTGTGCAAAACAACTGCACAGAGCATGTAAGTATACCATGTTTGTTATTTAAAAAAACAAAAAAAACAAGATCACTTTAAAAATCATGCCCAGGGTTTTTAGTTTTCCTTATAAAACAAATGGGTAGTGTTGATGGTCTTACTGCCTTCAACAAGGGCAAACACAGTATGCTGATGCTACTGGATACTACACTTTGTATGTCATAATTGGCTTTTCCACTACTTTACTGGAAAGGCCATTTCAATGTGCAGATGTTCTCAAAATGCTAGAAACTAGCTGACATTCATCATCAACATACAGCCAAAATGAAAAGCAGATAAGCAGGCACAGGCACAGCATAGGTGAATCAATCAAATGCTTATATTTACAGTTTTAAATGAAACTGGTTCCAAAGCTTTGGCTTTTTTTGTTTGTTTTTTTTTAAATAATAAACATGTTATACTTATCTGCTCCGTGGAATGGTTTGCACAAAGCATCCCTGAACCTCCTCTGGTTGCTTCCCCCACCTGCGCTCCTGGCTCCTGCTCTTCATCCAGTGCCTTCATAGGAAGCCACTTCCTATGGGGGTACTCGTGTGGGCTTGCTCCCAAGCCCTGCTACCTGCATCCATAGACACAGACAGCAGGGCTCGGCCCTGCCCCCTGCTCCGTTATCACAGTAGAGGGAGCCAATGGCTCCCACTGCCATCGATCTGCCCAGTGAGGAGGGACAGGGACTGGATAGCCACTGCTCTCATGCACAGCGCTGGATTGCAATGGGGCGCAGGTAAGTACAGACAGGAGGAGAAGGAACATGTGGGGGGGGGGGGGGGGGGAGCTGCACTGATCTGAGGTCTGTGTATAGTTTACGGACCCACAGGAGGGAGACACAGTAAAAGGGAGTGGAGGGGGGTGCAGGTAACATGCACACAAGGAGGAGTGATGAGACCGGGAGGAAATATGCTGGGGAGTGTTTTCAGAGGGGAGAGGACTTGTGCTGGAAGATGAGGTGGGGGGATTTAATATCCAACAACTCCCAACTCACTATCCAACACCCCCCATCTCCCCTCACAAAGCACCCACCCAGCACATATCCTCTTACACCCCCTCTGCCCCAAATCAAAGAGATGCTGCCTGCAACAGAGAGGCAATGGGCATGGGACATGTGAGAAGGTTCCCTATGTGTCCTCATCCCACGGGCCCCTCTCTGTCCTCATCCCAGGGGCCCCTCTCTATTCTTACCCCAGGGGCCACTCTCTGTGCTCATCCTGCAGGTCCCCCTCTGTCCTCATCCCAGGGGCTCCTCTCTGTCCTCATTCCAGGGGCCCCTCTCTGCTGTCCTCATCCAAGGGGCCCCTCTCTATCCTCATCCCATGACATCCCACTCTGTCTTTATCCCAGGGGCCCCTCTATGTCCTCGCCCCACGGTGTCCCTTTCTGTCCTCATCCCAGGGACCCCTCTCTGTCCTCATCCCAGGGGCCCCTCTTTGTCCTCATCCCAAGGGTCTCTCTCTGTCCTCATCCAAGGGGCCTGTCTCTGTCCTAATCCCAGGAGTCCCTCTCTGTCCTCATCCCAGGGGTCCCTCTCTGTCCTCATCCCAGTGGTCCCTCTCTGTCCTCATTCCAGGAGTCCCCCGCTGTCTTCATCTCAGCGGTCCCTCTCTGTACTCATCTCAGGGGTCCCTCTCTGTCCCCATCCCAGGGGTCCTTCTCTGTCCTCATCCCAGGGGTCCCTCTCTGTCCTCATCAGGGATCCCCTGAAAAGCAATTATGATAGGGGGCTCAGGACAGTAAGGACTTCTTTGCATTTGCAGCTTGGGGGGTGGTAAAACCGCATAGTTGAGGCCTGTTTTTACCACTTCTCAACCACACCTTCTTTAACGGATGTACATATGTTGCAGCCGCAGCAGGAATTTTGCACCCTGTCACACTTAACAGGTTTAGTGCCTGCCAAGCGTGACCCATTAAAGTGAATGGGGCTGCTCTGCAAGTGCCCTGCAACCTTGTGCAGTACAGTGACCAAAGGGATAAAGCAGGAGGTGAAGAGGTGTTTTATAACATGCCTTGCATACAATTGCAGGGCGTCTGTAGAGTCACACTTGGCAGGCCTTACACCTTTTAAGTGTGACAGGGTGTATAATTCCTGCTGCGGCTGCGACATGTGTACACCGCTGGACAGTGGGTGGATTCGGTGGGATGGCCAGTGGGCGGGCCTTGGAAAATGTTGGTGGTCGGGCCCGTAGGGGCCCAGGCATAAAATTGTGTAAAGGGCCCCAAAATTTCTGATGGCTGTCCTGATTGGTAAGCTGCAATATATTACATTTTTGGTTTTGGGTTTAATAACGCTTTAAATTGGAGGAACCTTTGAAAAAAATGTGTAGGTCTTAGAGAACCTTTGCTAAAAAATATTATGCTACAGTAGCATGATCAGTAAGTTGCAGATATAATATTAAAGGAATAAGTAATATGGCATACCTAGCATATTTGACACCCAGAGCAGATCATTTTTTAAACACTCCATTATATATCTTTACCTTCAATAATAATCATTTTATTTAAAATCTAAAGCTAAAAAAGGACAGATTCTTCCATCCACACAAGCAAGCAATGCAGCAACTGATCAAGAAAAAATTTCCAACATTCCCATTCTACACAAGTCGATAGATGGGTTTCTGTTGAGCAGGAGCAGCCAAACATGAATCAAAATTCAGCCGGTCCCTGCTGAACCAGCCAAATTTCAATACATCTATGACCAGGTTATTAATAATAATGGCAGGACAGTAAAAGTTGTAATATTGCTTTACATGGGAGTAGTGAAAAAATTCCATATGGATAAGGGAATGGAGGAATATCAGACTTTTGTCTGGTGAACTATCTCTGGGTGGGTAGCTTTTTTTTCTTATGCTGTTCTTTTCACTCCCTTGGTGTTTGCTGTTTAGTATTTTCTTTTTGAAGAAGGGCTGCGTGCATGTTTGGCGTGGGTTTATTTCTTCATCACCTTGATGTCTAGCATAGTAGTGGGATTCTAAAGTTTTATTTTCCCTCCAGTAATGAAATATCAATTTATACAATTTTTCTTTTGGCATAAAGAAGCACAGAATTTGTTGTGCTGAAAAGTTTTTCTTTTTTTGCTAATATGTATTTATTTTTTATGTATATTCCCAAGTATTTTATCTTTATTGTCAGCAAGAATTTTCAATAAAGGGAAAATTGATACATGCATTAGTGGTCAGTGGAGTCTCTTTACATTGATGGGCAGTATAAAAGTGCAACCTATTACACTGAAAATCATAGCAAAAGTTTCCCTTTTACAATGGTGGTCAATGGGAGAGGTGCACCTTTACACTGGTGGTCAATAGGAGAGATGAACCCTTATATTGCTGGTCAGTGGAAGGGACCCCTAGCAATCTCCAGAAGAAACCCAGGGTTCCACGGGACCCTAGTTGAGAAAGGATGCTTTTGATGCTTAGCTGGTTAAAAGAGGATTCAAATATTTTGACAGTTTGAAAAATATAAATACTCATTATTAGAATTCTTAAAGATGAAGGGGTGGCAAGTCTTTTAGAAAAGTATGTGATTCAAACAGATTTGTGCTCTGATAAACTGTCTTTACAAACCATATGTTTATTCTCCGGAAAACACTCTTCCACCCGCCTGTAGAGTTGCCGGAATGTAGCTCGTATAGTAACTGGACAAGTGTTAACTGACTTGGCTATTGCAATAAGAAGATCGGTCAGGTAAGACTGGAGATACTGAGCACTTTGCAGAATTAGTTCACTCTCAGTCTGGATCCGGTGTAGCCCTGAGCACCTGCAAAAAAAAAGGATGAAAATGTAGAATTTTAATCAGGATTTGAAGTTTCATGTAAGAAAACAGTGCATTTATAAGGACACTTTTGGGGCACAGAGATTTCCTATATTAAAGTGATTGTAAAGCCTCTCTTTTTTTTTTAAATTAAAATAACAAACGTTATACTTACCTGCTCTGTGCAATGATTTTGCACAGAGGAACCCCAAGCCTGCTCTTCTGGTGTCCCCCACCAGCGCTCCAGGATATTCCTTTTCTCTGTGCGCCCCCATAAAAAGCCACTTGCTATGGGGGCACACCTGTGGGCTCGCTCTTGAGCTGCCCTGCCTGTGTCCATTGACACAGACAGTGTGACTCAGCCCCACCCCTCCATCCATCCTCATGCTAATTGAATTGACAACAGCGGGAGCCCATAGCTCCTGCTGCTGCCCGAATCTTTGTGAAAAAATGAAGAAAAGGGAGAGAAGACTGCAGCCAGGCACACCGCTGGATCGCTGACAAGCTCAAGTAAGAGTTTAGAGAGGGGGGAGGGAAATAGTTAGTGGGGTGGTTTTTTACTTTAATGCATGAAATGCATTAAGGTAAAAAAAACACCCAACGTTTAGAATGACTTTAAACTGAACTCCAGGCAGATGAAAGATAATGATTTCATGCAGCAATTAACTTACTTTATGCTGAATTATTTCACTCTTTTCTTTTCAAGCCTTACACATTCACGCTCATTGCCAATAGTTCAAATGTTGCCTTAGCAGGGTCCTAGCATACAAACTTTCTATTTAGGTGACCAGCTATTTTCTGCACACTGGTTGACTGGTCGCCTCATTGCCCTCCTGCAGTCAGGCAGCATTGACATCTGTGCTGCTGAATAATAGTTACCCATGCCTTCATATTGCCTCTGCCTGCCCAGCTCCACTTCTGCTTGCTCAACTCCACCTAGCTCTGCCCAGCTCCTTTCCTTCTGCAACTCTCAGCAGAGCTAGTTAAAAACACAGTGGAGTGCGTGAAGAGAGAAAAGAAAAAAACCAGACAAGATGGTCACAGGGGGGGAGAATGAGGACAAGGAAAGACATCTGAGAATCCACTATGTCTGCAGCATGCAGTCCAGGGCTGGGATATTCTAACATTATCTGATAACTCACTGTCTACACTACTGTCGCTCTCCAAGCTAAAAGCCAAGATACTGCTGGCAAATGTGTGCTGACAATCAAAGGGGTTTCTTCACTCCTCAATCACTGCCCACATACTATACAGTGGATATAAAAAGTCTGCACACCCCTGTTAAATGTCAGGTTTCTGTGATGTAAAAAAATGAGACAAAGATAAATAATTTCAGAACTTTTTCCACCATTAATGTGACCTATAAACTGTACAACTCAATTGGAAAAAAAACTGAAATCTTTTCGGGGGGGGGGGGGGAGTAAACATGAAAAACTAAAATAATGCGGTTGCATAAGTGTGCACACCCTCTTATAACTGGGGATGTAGCTGAATTAAACAATCACATTCAAAATCATGTTAAATAGGAGTCAGTACACACCTGCCATCATTTAAAGTGCCTCTGATTAACCCCAAATAAAGTTCAGCTGTTCTAGGTAGTCATTGTCCGCAGAGAGCTTCCAAATCTTCAGAGGAATCTCATTGTTAAAAGGTATCAGTCAGGAGAAAGGTACAAAAGAATTTCCAAGGCATTAGATATACAGTACCATGGAACACAGTAAAGACAGTCATCATCAAGTGGAGAAAAGATAGCGCAACAGTGACATTACCAAGAACTGGATGTCCCTCCAAATTTGATGAAAAGACGAGAAGAAAAGTGGTCTGGGGGGTTGCCAAGAGGCCTACAGCAACATGAAAGGAGTTGCAGGAATATCTGGCAAGTAGTGGCTGTGTGGTACATGTGACAACAATCTCCTGTTTTCTACATATGTATGGGCTATGCGGTAGAGTTGCAGGACGGAAGCCTTTTCTTAGGAAGAAAAACATCCAAGCCCGGCTATATTTTGCAAAAACACATCTGAAGTCTCCCAAAAGCATGTGGGAAAATGTGTTATGGTCTGATGAAACCAAGGTTAAACTTTCTGGTCATAATTCCAAAAGATATGTTTGGCACCTCACTGCACCTCACCAAAAGAACACCATACCCACAGTGAAGCATGATGGTGGCAGCATAATGCTTTGGGGCTCTTTTTCTTCAGCTGGAACCTTAGTCAAGGTAGAGGGAATTATGAACAGTTCCAAATATCAGTCAATATTGGAACAAAACCTTCAGGCTTCTGCTAGAAAGCTGAACATGAAAAGGAACTTCATCTCTCAGCATGACAATCTGTGGGATGCATTGAAGAGGGCTGTGCACAGGAGATGCCCTCGCAATCTGACAGATATGGAGTGTTTTTGCAAGGAAGAGTGGGCAAATATTGCCAAGTCAAGATGTGCCATGTTGATATACTCATACCCAAAAAGACTGAGTGCTGTAATAAAATCAAAAGGTGCTTAAACAAAGTATTAGTTTAAGGGTGTGCACACTTATGCAACCATATTATTTTAGTTTTTTATTTTTACTTCCCTCCATCTAAAAGATTTCAGTCTATTGTTAAACTGAGTTTAAAGGCTACATTAAAGGTGGAAAAAGTTCTGAAATGATTTATCTTTGTCTCGTTTTTTTTACATCACAGAAACCTGACATTTTAACAGGGCTGTGTAGACTTTTTATATCCACTGTATGTAAGCAGACAGTGCTTGGTATATATAATACTGCAAGGCAGTTTAGATAAGGAAAATACATAGGTTGCCCAGCAGACCCCTCCTCCTGACTGCCACTCTGCAAAAAAATTTAGGTAAACCCAGTAATGACTTAAGAGGGCATATTAAGAGAAATTAAGAGATTAAGAAAAAAATCACACTGCAGGAAAAAAGTGAGTTGAAAATTCATACTGGGCAGATCATTTTAGAGGGGGAGGGAGGTTTAGGGGTGTGTTCAGTATAAGCATGGGGTTCTGCTTTAAAGTAAAAACTTTTCTTGTATACTGTATATGTACAGATGTAGCTAGGTGTCAGCTATATCATTATCCACCTGTGCAATAAGTCCATCCATGAAATTTCCTTGCTACTAAATATTCCACGGTCAGCTGTTAGTGGTATTATAACAAAGTGGAAGCAACTGGGAACAACAGCAACTCAGCCATGAAGTGGTAGGCTACGTAAAATGACAGAGCGAGGTCATTTTACACAGCAGACAAGGAAGATGTTTTAGAGGAGAAAAAGGTATAGATCAAGATGTACTTATCCTATGAGCCACCAGAGCACCCACATTCCACCGGAGTATGCCTGCACCTAGACAAATCTGTCCAGTTTGATGTTGAACCTGAGGGCCAGGAGATCCACATTCGATGTTCCCAAGTCTTCTTCTGCTGAGGAAGAAGGGTGCTCTTGCCACCAGTAGCGTCCTTGATAATGGTATCAAGAGTAGATACAAAGCGATGTCCCTCAAAGGTCATGCAAATCAGATGCTTCTTGGAAGCAAGTTCAGCACTTTAACCAAAGTGTCCCACATATGTTTACTAACAGTAGCCCCATGTAAAAGCAAAATCTGGATGCCTTCTGCTAACTGACACAACTAAAGTTTAAAGCGACAGCCATTTACTCCATGCATTCCATAATCAAGGGATCAACCACAGCAGTGATAATAACATCACTTTTAGGGAATTTTTATCAGTCAGGTTTAGCACAGTAAAATCAGCCAAGATGGGGTAAACAGCAGGATCCACCACTGAGAACAAGGTTCTAGAGAGGGCTTTCAATCACTTATCATTTGGCTCTTTCAAGACAGGTACACCCTTCACTGATATGGTAGTCAATTTGTTAAGGCAGGACACTGCTGGAATCACAGTGAAGGTAGACCACCTTTGTACAAAATGTTCCTCAAATAGCTTCTCAGGGTGTTTACAATATCTGAAGTTAAAGAGTTGGAACAGAATGTGAAATGGGAAAGCCTTTGTGCTTTAGGGCCACTAAAGCGCACAAGATTGGAATCAGCACTGGTAGAATCAATAGGCACATCCTCTAGTTTCAGAGTGGACAGTACCATACTGATTATAACCACAATATTCTCTTTTAATTTTGGGGTGATAGCAGTGGACTGCAACTCTTCAAGAGCAAGCTCATCATCAAAGACTAGAGCAATTCAGAATCAGTGTCTCAGCGACTGATGCCTCTAGAGATGCCAGGGCTATTGGCAATTCAACCTAAATCTGCAGGAAAAAATGCAGAAGCATGCCTGTGGCCTCTGTGGTCAAAGTCAGTTAATAAATGGGTGATATGGGTCATGGAGTCTTGCATGACTGTAGTAAAAACCTCAAATTAAAGGGCAGTGGAACTAAAATCATTTGACGGAGGTAAAAAGGACTCCGATGATGTAATAGAGCAGAGGGCAACAGGATTTCAGGCTGCAGATGTCAGCACTGTCAGTGGGCATGATGCATGTAGCCCTGGAGCTGTTAGTAGAGTTTGTGGAACTGTCCCCCCTTTTTGTTTATAATCACATAAGTTGAGACTACATGACAATAAGGTAGCGTAAGAACTAATAAGACTTAGTAACAACTGGTAGAAGGAAAGGTTTGGATAGATGAAGATGACCACTGGAGGCAAGAAGCAGGAATGTACTGAAGATCAAAGTGCTACATAGCTCTTTGCAAGTAGGAGCACCAACGGGGAGATGCCTCCTCAAGACTGTATGGCTGTAAAGAAAGCACACAAACCGTGCAAACGTGTCAGTGTACCCAGTGGATGACATCAGGGCTCAGTATCTTGCAGCAAAACAGGTAAAAAACAGTGAATATTTAAAGTGCCCAGCAACCTATGTAATTGAGTACTCATCCCAACTAGCATACCCACAAAGTTAGTCTTCAGAAACAGGGAAAGCACTGGGCTATAGACTTGCAAGACATTCCATTGCTAAAATTCACCAGTAAGCAGAATGAAAAGCACCCTGCACAGAACCCATTGCTTGGAGGTCACTTCTAGACTATGCCTGCAATGTCCAGTCCAGTGAGGGCTCTCCATTAGCATGGCAGAGGACAGACATACCCGATAGCTGTTATGGAAAAGACAAATACTAGCAGCAATGTAGAAAAGAGTCTTAACTGAAGAAGAAAAATATTGAAGAGTAAAAAAAAGTGTGTAGCTGTAAGGGAATTCCTGTGACATGGCTGGCAAATAGAAATGCACATGCGCGCGATAGCACACACGCGCAGCAAATCTTGGTGCCAGACGGACTATTTAAAGGGTGCCTCTGCCTGTGCTTAGTGCTGACTGATCTTCAGCTGTCCCCATGTCCTGCTGTGTTCCTGAGCGATTCCGCTTGATATTCGTTCCTGACCTCGACTCTGTTCCTGGCTTTGTCTTGCTTATGATTTGGCACTTCGCTGTCCGCCCATTGATGACCCTGGCTATTCCTATGACGTTGCTCCTGTTTCCCATCCCAGCTTCCTGCCTTGCTCTGGTGCACGCCTGGCGGTCTACCATACCAGCTCTGCATATTGCTATTGTTCCTGAATCGGTGGTTCACCAGTTGTTTAAGGACTCCAGCTGCAAGTTCTTCAGGCAACATCTGCTGGCACTCTTGTCCTCCTGGTCCCTAGACACCCCCTGTTCCACTTCCAGCGGGGTCAGGGCTAGTGACACAAGTGAGGCTGACCTGGTTATTTCAGTCTCCTATCAGGTACTAGACAGTAGCACCCTTCTAGTTTATCTAGGTGGAGCTAGACTCCAATAGTTAGACAGGGGCTGAGCAGCAACCCAGGTAATCAGAGTGGTCAAATTTTGGTCAGGAGCTGCAAGGCTCAGCCCTCTGAGACTTCACCCTGCCTAGAACTTTGGAGAAAGTTCCAGAAGCAGTGGGCAGATGTAAGGAGAGGCCGATATGCATATTCAAGGGACTCTGACCAATCTCCAACAGGGGGCTTGGCAAGGAGTCAGAACAGTCCTTAAATTTGAGTGAGCCTGTCCAGTGAGAGGAGTTGGGTGAAAGAAGGAGAAAGGAAGATGTGAGGCTGTGAGGAGGCCCAGTGGGATGGGACCCACCTACAGGCCTGGAGCTGGAAAGGGAGGAAGCTTGGAACTCACTGTCCCCCTTAGAGAGGACCACCTGTATGGCAGGGAAGGAGCAGCCCAGTTGATAGGCCTGGTAGCATCAACCAACCAATAAGCAGTACAGGAGAGGATCTGAGTGAGTATACCTACACCCCCCACGGTAGATAGGGGAAGGAGCACTCTGGTGGGAAAACAAATTAGCTATCTACCAGTGACTGTTTACCTCTTAAAGTGACAGGAACAGGATCCCCTGCTCAGGGATGTCTCCAGTTTGCTGGGTGAAGAGGAGAAGTTCATCTAGGGTCTGGGGTGGTACACTAAAGGTATGCTGGTTAGCTCTCCAACAAAGACTGTGCTGCAGAGAAGGCTTGTAAATAGTTCCAGGAAGTTGTCCTCAGTTTGTCAGTACCCTTGGGCATCCTTACACCCCTAACCCTATCCCTGTTAAAATCCCCCTCAATAAACAACAAAACCTAAGCTGAAGGACTGATTTTTTGACTCTGGAGGCAAGCTTCTGTGGAAATGTGTGATGCATGGCTGTGCAGGACTATAGATTGACTGAAATCGTCTAGTGAATCCTAATGGGGTAGTGCTACAGGTGCTAGCAAAAAATAGGATAGCCTCCCATACAGCAGAGCTGATGAGAAGATATCCATCATCCTAGGACACTAGCAAAAACAGAAGCTAGCTAGTAGTAGGAGGGGTTATCCTAGGCCTAGAGGTTTTTTTTCTGCCAGTGTTCTATCATCTTGCAGGCATCCATACAACCTGAAGCTGAAAGATTTCCTGTGTTCCTCAATGGAAAAGAAAAAACATACCGTACATATTTATGCAATCTAAAGTCATGCACGTAAAAAGGATGTGAAAATCATTAGTTATGAGTATTTACTTCCTCCTTTCTTTGATTCACAGGCAAAGCCCTGTTTCTGACATCCTAGTTTTTTATCTGATACACTATGTCTAAAATTGTTTCATGTGAACAAAAGGAACACCGGAAGGTCAGATGTTCAGCCTTTAGTCAGTGTAACATTTATGAACATTGTATGATTACAATTCCATAGAAAAAACTGCAATGAGCTACATTTTTTAGTTAAAGCAGAACTCTATACAATCCTCATTTTAGGTATTCACTTGTTTTTTGTGGAGAAGAGCAGGTTGTAACCTCTTGCGTGGCCTGTGTTTCTGTCAGTGCCCATGGTGCCCACGGAGCAGATTACTATTCCATAGAAAAAACTGCAATGAGCTACATTTTTTAGTTAAAGCAGAACTCTATACAATCCTCATTTTACTTATTCACTTGTTTTTTGTGGAGAAGAGCAGGTTGTAACGTCTTGCGTGGCCTGTGTTTCTGTCAGTGCCCATGGAGCTCTCTCCCTAACTCTAATGACAGCTGTGGCTCAGCAGTAAATCTCCTGGCTTGACCACAATTTTCAGATGAGGAATACCCAAGGGAAACATGGAAATGCTGAAGTTTTTAAAGTGTGATGCTTGCATGCAGCTGCTCTTTGTTTAAAAATGCTGTACTGTACAAGACTGCCCATAAAAACCACCTGCTTTATGATTTAGATAACTGATAAATGTTTTGTCTTCACTAAACTAAATTCACAGTGCATAATATAATTCAGTAAAACATATATTACTGAAGCCTGTCTTTGGGGAAAAGAAAAATCATTTCTGCAGTGAGGCTGCCTGCAAGAATTAAATGCTGATTTTTGCCTACCAGAAAAAGCTATTTTGCATACTTGGTTTCCCTTGGTTCTCCAGCAGCTGCCACTCTGATCTACTTCCCTAAGCTCCAGCAGTAGACTGCCCCTTAATGTCCTCATGTCCAATGCAACGCTCATAGTTATAAACTGTATGACATCAGAGGACCTGCAACTGCTGAGGCATAAAGGAGAAGAGGCTACGGAGTCTGGTCCAGAAGTGCAGAGGGAACCTTGCAGAGTGGACAAGTGGGTCAGTAAAAGTGCCTCTACTGGTACTCTAGACCTAAATAAGCAATTTAACCCTTGCAGTTTGGCGGCAGTCCCGGTGGTCTGTTTGATTTCCCTGGAGTTCAGGTTTAACTTACTAGATAAAAACAGATGATAATAAAGTATTCACACTTACCCAGCTTCTTTAATCTCTACTTTACTAGGATCCAGTTCAATATATTTTTTCTCTTCAAAGATACGATTGATCGTTGGTCCAACAACGTTGTGTAAATATTGGGTTCCTGCTACCTACAGCATAAACAATATTTACATCATAAACATGAAGAATATGAAAAAAAAACTATTGATTTTTTTTTTAGCTGGCTGGAGGGTCAAGCTTTGATTCTCTACCTATCTTCACAGATGTATGAAGCCTTATTATCTAGATTTTCCTCTAGCTCCTGAGCAAGACCGAGAAAAGTCAAGCTTGGCTTTAAACTGCATCCCCAGAGCCACCTGCGTTAGAATTTTTTGTGTATTCGTATGAACATTCCACAACTGGAAGCAGAAGTGATTTTTCATCTGCTCTCTCATAGATTCTCTTCAGGAATATAAAATGAGTTCATTTGGTTCAAAGATTAGCTGAATAATTGAGCTTGGTATATCATTTGCTTGCTGTACCAACGTTGGGGTGTAAGTTTCTGTCCCTAGGTTTTAAAGATATCCAGGATCATATTTCCTGTCTTACAACCCATGACAGAGAATATTTCTTTAAAGGAGTCACATTCATTACATAATAATAAAGAACAATAATCACCAACTCATAAATGCTCTATTATACCCCTTTCACACAAGCATCATCTGTTCAGTTAGGTTTTTTCAAAGAAAAAAATGGATTTCAATTTTCACATCAGTTCGGCTCAGTTAGCCTCAGTTTACATCTTTTTGTAAATCCGCCTGCCAATCCATATCAGACCCTTATCCATGCCCCCCACCTCCTGAACTATGCCAAGCCACATGCCCTCAACATTGGGGGGAAGGTACCGTGCCAGAGAGGCAAAGCACCTTGTCCCCATGTCGATGAGTACAACGGCCTCTTCCTCACAACCCTGGCCTGGTGGTTGTGGGGGTGCGAGGAGCAACTTATCAGAATCTGGAAGCCCCCTTTAAAAAGAGGGCCCCCAGATCCCGGCTCCCCCCCATGTGAATGAGTATGGGGTACATTCCCCTACTCATTCACTAAAAGATTGACAAGTTAAAAAAAACACACAACACAGTTTTTGACAAGTTAATTTAAAAAAATGACCCTCGATGTAGATCCATCATCAACAAAGGCCATTTATGCCCCCCTCCTCTCCTAAGCATATTATCTCCAATGATGTGGCCTGTATATTAACCCTTTCACCTTCCTTATCCTGCACAACTGAACATTAACCACCTAATTTCCAAAATGCCACTTTATGTGACTTGTACATTAAAATCTGCACTTCACGTACATCTATCTAGTGCACTATTCTCAAGTTCCATGTTTAACCCTCTCAGTACTGGCATGTTTTTTTAATTTCAAAACAATTGTGGCAAAAGTAAGATCACCTTGGGTGTATGCTTTCCAAAAAGGGTCATATTAGGGTTTTTTGTACTATTCTGGCATTTTTGTTATGAGATGTTTCTTGTGTGATGCCTTGGTAATGAGACACCTTTTTATAGGCAATCAATTGAGACTGAACCAGCTGATATTAATTTACACTGACAAGGGGCAGGAGTGCTTTCTAGATACTGATAGATTTCAGCTGGTGTCTTGGCTTTCCATGCCTTTTTTACACCTCTCTTTCTTTATGTGCTCAATACTTATTCTCTGTGTCATTCCATTTTATTACACATAACTTCATTTCTGAACTTATTTGTTTTGGTTTTGTTGTATGTATGAATTGTATGGGTTGTCACCAACATATAGTGAAAATGTCATGTTAATAGCATCTTTAGAAATATATTTACAGTTGCAAGAAAAAGTATGTGAACCCCTTGGGATTACGTGGAGTTTTGCATAAATTGGGCATAAAATGTGCTCTGAACGTCATCTAAATCACAACAATAGAAGAACACAGTCTGCTGAACATAATACTACACAAACATTAGATGTTGCCATGGTTTAATTGCACATAACATGTAAACATTCACAGTGCAGGGAGGAAAAAGTATGTGAACCTTTGGACTTAATAACTGGTTGACCCTCCTTTGGCAGCAATAACCTCAACCAAACGTTTCCTGTAGTTGCAGATCAGACCTGCACAACGATCTGCAGTCATTTTGGACCACTCCTCTTCACAAAACTGTTTCAGTGTAGCAATATTCTTGGGATGTCTGGTGTGAATCGCTCTCTTAAGGTCATGCCACAGCATTTCAATCGGGTTAAGGTCAGGACTCTGACTGGGCCACTCCAGAAGGCGTATTCTGTGCTGTTGCAGCCATTGTTTTGTTGAATTACTTGTATGCTTTGGGTCATTGTTCTGTTGCATCACCCATCCTCTGCGGAGCTTCAGTTGGCGGACAGATGGTCGTACGTTTTCCGGCAAAATGTCTTGATAAACTCTGCAATTAATTTTCCCATCAATGACAACAATCCGTCCAGGATTGAGGCAGCCCCAAACCATGATGCTCCCTCCGCCATGTTTTACAGTGGGGATAAGGTTTTGATGTTGGTGTGCTGTGCTTTTTTTTTCTCCACACATAGTGTTGTGTGTTCTTCCCAAACAACTCAATCTTGGTTTCATCTGTCCACAGTATATTTTGCCAGTAGTGCTGTGGAACATCCAGGTGCTCTTTTGCAAACTTCAAACGTGCTGCAATATTCTTTTTGGACTGCAATGGCTTCCTCCGTGGTGTCCTCCCATGTACTCCATTCTTGTTTAATGTTTTCCTTATTGTAGATGTGTCAACAAAAATGTTAGCATGTGCCAGAGATTTCTGTAGGTCTTTAGCTGACACTCTGGGATTATTCTTTACCTCATGCAGCATTCTGCGCTGTGCTCTTGCAGTCATTTTTACAGGACGACCTCGCCTAGGGAGAGTAGCAACAGTGCTAAACTTTCTCCATTTGTAGACAGTCTGTCTTACCGTGGACACATGAACATCAAGGCTTTTGGAGATACTTTTGTAACCCTTTTCAGCTTCATGCAAGTCAACAATTCTTGATCGTAGGTCTTCTGAGAGCTCTTTTCTGCGAGGCATGGTTCACATCAGACAGTGCTTCTTGAAACCAGTAAATCCAAAACAGGTGTGTGTTTTTTAAGGGCAGGACAGCTGTCAGCAACACATCCAATATCATCACACTGATTGGAGTCAAGGTTGGCTCACTCCTGGCTCCAATTAGCTCTGGGAGAAGTCATTAACCACTTGCCTACCAGGCACTTATACCCCCTTCCTTACCAGGCCAATTTTCAGCTTTCAGCGCTGCCGCACTTTGATTGACAATTGCGCGGTCATGCAACATTGTACCCATATGAAATTTTGATCATTTTTTTCTCACAAATAGAGCTTTCTTTTGGTGGTATTTAATCGCCACTGGGCGCTTTACTTTTTGCGCTATAAATTAAAAAAAGTGCAAAAAATTTGAAAAAAAAAAAAGTTTATTTGTTTCTTTTATAAAATTTTTCAAACAGGTATTTTTTCTCCTTCACTGATTTGCGTTGATGAGGCGGCACTGATGGGCACTGATAGGCAGCACTAAAGGGCACTGATAGGCAGTACTAATGAGGGGCACGGATAGGCGGCACTGATAGACAGCACTAATTAGGGGTCACGGATAGGCGGCACTGATATGCAGCACTGATAGGCGGCACTGATAGGTGACACTGATGATGGGTACTGATAGACGGCACTGACTGGCATCACTTCTGGGCACTGACTGGCGGCACTGACTGGCACAACCCCTGGGCACTGACTGGTGGCACTGACTGGCAGCACTGCTGGGCTGCACTGGTGGGTGGCACTGGTGGGCAGCACTGGTGGGTGGGCACAGGTGGGTGGCACTGGTGGGCACAGGTGGGTGGCACTGGTGGGTGGGCACAGGTGGGTGGCACTGCTGGGCACATGTAGGTGGCACTTCTGGGCACAGGTAGGTGGCACTGCAGAGTGGCACAGGTGGGGGCACTGCTGGGCACAGGTGGGGGCACTGCTGGGCACAGGTGGGGGCACTGCTGGGAACGGGTGGGCGGGGCTAGTGGGCGCACTGCTGGGCGGAACTTGCGGGTGTCACTGCTGGGCACCGATCATCAGGGCACTGATCATCAGTGCCTCAGGGCACTGATCATCAGTGCCCTGATGATCGGTGCCGATCCCCGCTCTGACAACTGCCGGTTCACGGCAGTACTTTCCTCACGATCTGACAGCGTGAGGAAAGTGCAGCCGAGAACCGGCACTTGCATTTCCCTGTGATCAGCGTGTCATTGGACACCGCTGATCACGTGGTAAAAGGCCGGTGGGATCGGCCTTTCACCACATCACGTGATCAGCTGTGTCCGTAGGACACAGCGATCACGGAGATCGCCGGGTGCGCGCAGGAGAGCGCGTTCTGGGAGGACGTCATATGACGTCCACTCAGAACTGGCCGGCCGCGGTGAAGCCGTCATTCGGCTATGCTCGGTCGGCAAGAAGTTAAGCTAGGGCCTCACATACTTTTTCCTCCCTGCACTGTGAATGTTTACATGTTATGTGCAGTTAAACCATGGCAACATCTAATGTTTGTGTAGTATTATATTCAGCAGACTGTGTTCTTCTATTGTTGTGACTTAGATGACGTTCAGAGCACATTTTATGCCCAATTCATGCAAAACTCAACGTAATCCCAAGGGGTTCACATACTTTTTCTTGCAACTGTACCTAGAAAAACAGTGACGTGTTCAATACTTAATTTACCCGCTGTATGCCAGCATATTAGATATTGGATTAAAGAAGGTGTCTAACAATATCCTCAAATCAGTCTCTTATTTTATAATTTACAGAAGAATTAACGATTGTATTGTGTTCGTATGCACTAAAATGAAAAATTAGTTTTAATGAAAATGTATTCTTTCTGAAACATATATTTTCAGAAAATATAGAATGTTTTGGAGATTTGAGCACCTTTCAATGAAAAAAGTGTGCCTATTGGTATTCGTGCGACAAACAAAAAAATGACTAGCAAACTTGCCAAACTTTCTGCCTTACACAAGAAGATGAGGGCCTGAAAAAAAACCTCTCTTGCAATACGCACCAAACTGAGCATGTGCAGAGTGTCTCCGCACTATGTCTTATTAGGAGATAAGAGGGGACACTGAAAGAAGGGGAGTATCAGAGAAGTCAGGATCAAACAGCCTTTTTTACACAATGCAGAGGATTAACCCCTTAGGTTCCACAGTGAGTATAACAAGCATGCTTTACTGCATATACAGACTGATTTTACTGTTGTGGGTTTAGTAACACTTTAATGATGGTCTTAAAGTATAACCAAAGGCAAAAACGGTTTTCTTAGTTTTGGATAGAGTGGAGACGTATTAGAATACCTGTCAGGTTTTTATTGCTGTCTGTGCCCTTGTTAGGGAGATTCACCCTCTATATTTGTCCTGTTTATCATTATCATTGAAAGTGAAAGAAAATCCCAAATTTTAGGGTGCCACCAGAAAAGTATTAGAGGGTATATCTTCCAATGGGGACACTAATTCAGGTGACCTGGGGGGCCCCAAGGTAATCCCTTAGTTTGCACAGATTTCCTCACTTCCTGTTTTGATTGTGGGACAGACAAGAAGCAAATCTTCCAAATGGGATACAGATGAAAAAAAACTGACAGGGGCTGTAACCCTACCTTACTCTATCCAAATTGACCAAAAAAAGTTTTGCCTATAGTTCTACTTTAGGGTTTTAATGGTGTGCATTGCAATGTCCAAATATGCGTAATGCAATTCTAGTTAACGTACCTGTGTGCACCATACACATGTTTGCAAGTGCATATAGGGGTAGGCAGGCTTTCAAAAGATTTTTTTCACTAAACAATATTGCTATCACAAGGGGGCCACCAAGTCCCCTATAAAATATCATATATGGAGTGATAGGTAACTACTATTTGACATCCCAAAGTCAGCTGGGAAAAAAAAGTAAACAAATGTGTGGCTGCATTCACATCCCAATACTTATGGGTAGTAAAAGGGTTAAAGTAGATGTAAACCCTTAGTGAATGTTATGTAGGTATCAAAATGCCGAGTATCTTGGAGAAATGAAGGGTTTGGGGAGAGAATGTTGTTCACCTATTTTTATCCTCTGTTACATCATAATGATGCTGATATCAGACTGTCCCTGTCCACATGCACTACAGTGACAGCAGAGTGCATGTGTTTTTGCATATTTCCTGATTGTTGCTGGCTGCAATTTTTTTCACAGGCTTTTTAAAATAGTGTAATATACAGTGGAATATACCTGGGCAATGTGCATCAGCACAGGAGAGAATAGTTTCCTTTACCACAGGGGTCTCCAAACTTTCTAAATGAAGGGCCAGTTCACTGTCCTTCAAACTTTAAGAGGGCCAGATTGTGGCCAGCGGGAGTAGAAAATGTCTTGGGGTCAGTTGGAGTTGACAATGTCCCATCGTTGGTGTCAGTTGAAGGAATACTGCCCCGTCGTTGGTGTCGGTGGAAGAAATAGTGCCCTGTCGTTGGTGTCGGTGGAGGAATAGTGTCCTGTTGTTGGTGTCAGTGGGAGGAATAGTTCCCTGTTGTTGGTTTTTGTGGGAGGAATAGTGCCCCGTTGTTGGTGTTGGTGGGAGTAATAGTGCCCCGTCATTGGGAGGAATAGTGCCACGGTGTTGGTGTCGTGGGAGGAATAGTGCCCCATCATTGGTGACAGTGGGAGGAATAGTGCCTCACTGTTGGTGTCAGCGGCAGAAACTATGCCCCACTGTTGCTGACAGTGGGGGGAAATAATGGTCCAAGGGCTGGAAAAAAGCAAGCAAATGGCCGCATTAGGCCCCAGGGCCACAGTTTGGAGGTCACTGTTTTAGGAGATCCTGGAACAAGGTGATATACAGGCAGGAGATTTTGGGAGACGGCAAAGGTGTTTTCACCCCACATAACAAAGTGCCCAAACAAAGACCTTTATACAATATTACTATCACCAGCTTTTTTTTTAACGAAAACAAGCAATTAAAATAAAAACAGGCTTTCCAAGTGATATTGTCATGTAAAAACTAAGATTTCAGTGGGTTGCTTTATATCTACTTTACTTGTGTTCTTAAAATTGTAGTGCTTGGATAAATGTTTTATGTGCCCTGCCTGTGTACTCAGATACATCCAAAAATTCTTGTTGAGGGTTATTATTGTATCCACCAACACTAATGCTGGAGGGTACTATTACTGCACTCACTGATACCAATGCTGGAGGTTATTATTGCACCCACTGACACCAATGTTGGGGAGTATTATTGCATCCACTGACACCAATGTTGGGGGGTAGTATTGCATCCACTGGCACCAATGCTGAGGGTTGTTGTACTTCATCAGTGTACATTGCAATACACTTCCAAAAATGCAGCAGGAAGTACATTTTTTGGCGTTGAGATACAGAAAGGCACAGCTATTGTGTGGCTCTATGGAAGTGACAGGGGCTGGGTACTCTATCATTTCAACGTTGATCAACACTGATCTACAGGCTCATCCAGAAACTATTATGATTTCTATCAAAAAATATAATATCCATGAAATTCCACATCAGAAAGACAAAAGAGGGTTTATTCAGCAAGACAATAAGAATATCTGTCAGATTCTCATGCATTAGAATTCTCATCTTGTATTGCTATAGATAGATTTTAGAGTGTTTGTAAGGGTATGGAAAACACTGCTTTACAGCAGAAAAGGTAATTCACAAAGTTCACAAAAACCTAAGAAACGTTTCCAAGCTGTATAGCATAAAAAAGAAGCTCCTAAATAAATATAAATTTGATAACTATCATCTGCAGTCAGAAATTCCAATTAACATATGGTTCAGACTACCATAGAGTATCAGGTATAGAACACTACTATACAATCCTGCATATTAATCAGCAATATATATAATTTACAGTGCTATCCTGCCCTGTAAACGTAAATAATGTTGTACAATCATTAGTGCAAAACAATGAATAACTTGTGTTTCCTTTTACATCAGATAAAGCCTTCACACGTAAGCATCTGATTTACAAGACTGAGAAGAATTAAGAAGATAAATCAGAAATATATTATTTACCTTGAGAAAGGATTCCATTGACTTGGAAGCCAAAGAATTACTTCTGAATAATGTGTTTGGTTCATCTATGATAATAATATATTTGATTTACAATTCAAACATCAATTTATAAAATCTAGAAATGTTATATATCAACCATCAATTGAACAGAACAGTGAAGCACACAAGTGCAGATTCAATGCTTATTTATTATCTCGGATTCCCGTCATCATTTTACCAACATCACACAATTCCCAATACATACATGTTGATACAAGTATTATTTTTGATGGATATTACATTTTGAATTGCACAGAATCGCATGCCAAGGGAAATTGGATTGTTTTTAATGTTGTACATCACATGGTGTGATTTTGGAAAAGGATCCTGTACTACTTTGGTGAGATTCCAGTGCGATTTTAGCCCCACAAAATATGCAAAGCACATCCAAAATGCAACCAAATCACACTACATAATGGCACTGCAATCAAATTGCAGTAGTGTGAACCTATTCTTACTGTGAGTATATGAATGACTATAGTGGGATTTCCACTAAATCCCTCTAGTTTGAATATAATAAGGCAGAAGAAATGCAGGCAAATAATGTAAGGGCTCATGTACACAGGGCATTTGGAAAACTCTTCTGACTGCTGGAAACTGCTAGAAATGTAGGTTAAAAAACGTAAGTTTAGCCGCTTTTGCATATTGCGTTTATGCACGTTTGTGTTTAGAAGTGTTTTTAAAAGATAACCTCAGGAGACCTTCCCGAATACCCAGACTGCACTGAAAAATAGTAAATAATTAACTATTTCAGACATTTTGAAAGGAATACAGAGAGCAGAAGCAGAGAGAGCAGTATGTGTTGAGATTACATTTTTTTCTGGTTGTATTCACTGTGGATCCCATCATGAGCATAATGCAGCACATTCTACCATTTTTTCCTTCACGTGAAACCTGGAACTGACTACACTGGTGTACTAGGTCCATTTGAATACATGGAAAATGCTTTGCATGCAAGAGCGTTGATAAGAAAAAAGGCTCTGGACAGCATCTGGATATGAACCTGTCAAAAAACGCGTCTAAACGCAAATGCTTGTAAACACGGTTAACCACATTTACAAGCATTTGGCGTTTGAAACGCTGGTAAAATCTACTCCTGAACACAATTTTGGTGCGTTCAAAAAAACGACTGTAAACTCAACTGCCTGTAAACAACTATGTGTACATGGACACGTAGGAAAACAAAGGAGAGTTCAGGGGCTGCTGGAAAAAACGCTCAACAGCCCCTGAACGTCAGTTTAGCAGCTGCAGTGTACATGAGCTCTAAGTCTACAGTATATGCAGTAGCAGATGTTGATATTTTAAAATAGCCATGAACAACCAATTCTAAAAAAAATATTACTTCTGCTGTGTGTAAATGTTTGTAGTCTGAATGGCCTTCAATCTTCTTACATCTCTCATAGACTTCTATGGTGATCTAGCTTGTAAGGTTTGTGTCTCCGCAACTTCTCACTCTCACTGGATTCAATAGTTGTTTGTTACATTATACTGAATTTTAGTGAAGGCCATGACAGATGGAACTTTGAGCTCTGGTGGGGGATACTGCATGACTGGAATCATCAAAAGACCTCAGAAGTCATTAGGTGATTCAAACCTCCAGCAGCACAACAAAACATAAATATCAGTTAGGGGTGAGCCTTTTGGAAATATTTCCTTTAATTTTGCAACTCAATGCTGCTCATTAATAAAATATCAAATGCAATAACAGTACCTCTTCTGAGAAATGTTACTTCTTTCCTGAAACGGAAAACATACTTGCACAGATGTCACTTACTTGTTTTTTCCAGCTCAAGCCTAAAGAGCAGATCAAGGAATTCCTTTGCTAGCCCTTGTCCTAAGAAAATCTTCACAAGGTTGGTGGCCACTTCCTGTCTACATTCAGCAGATGTGGTTTCATCTATCAATGTTATTAAAGGTCCACACTTTTCCTGTTGAAACACAAACAGAATTTGGCAGGTGTAAACCTAGTAACTTAACTTCGGGTCCCGGCTCGGGTTTGTGCAGCCATATCTGGTGGATTCCATCCAAGGGGAAGACTGGGTTGAGAGTCTGTCTACACTGCTGTCAGAGCCACAGAATGAAAATGATGTCCCGAAAGCAGCACACCAAGCAACCCTGGGCATCAAAAACATGTCAGCAGCCTCAGTCTATCTCCATTCTGACCACACACATAGACGAGTTTCGCATCGCCCATGGGGTCTAGTCATGGTAGCAGGACTACAGTTTTAATGTCCAGGGCCTTCTCAGAAAAATCTAATTTCCCCTGCTACATCTTATACACTTTAAAGCTGATCACCATGATTTAGTGAAGTTTAAATACTTCATTTGGACCAAGGTGGTCCAAATGAACTATTTACTTTACCATCAGATGCAGTGGCTATGTGCGCCGTATAAACTGTATGCAGCTTCAGCTACATACAGCATACAGTGCTGTGTTTCGGTAGTGGAACAAGAACTTCCTGTCCTGCTCCCGAAACAAAATCAAGTAGGGCTGAGCACTGCTAATCCATTCACAGGGAGCTTTGAATTCTATGAATGAATAAAAAACTTCCTCTGATTGGCCAAGGTGGAGAAGCGGGCATGATATCTCCAATCTAAAAATTAGAGGACGCTTTGTATTCATTCACAGAATACAAAGCTCCTGTGAATGACTGGGCAGCGCTCAGCCCGACTGCATACTGTATGTAGCTTAGATTACATACAATATATACAGCGCACTGCATCTGTTAGTGATGGAAATAGTTAGTTTGGATCAGCTTGGTCCAAATGAGCTATTTAACTCCTTCCCACTGCCAACTCCCAGGATCTAAATGTCGGGAGGTGGGCATTCTGATCATGTGACTGCTGTGATTGGCAGTAACAGCAGTCACATGATCAGAAATCTCCTGATGGTAAGTATGCATCGGGAGCTTTCTGGTACTTGCTCGTGTACTGGAAGTGTGCAGAGCGCGCGCTCTCAGCACAGTAAATTGTTTACCTAGGTACGCTTATATGCCGCCGCTATGCATTAATGACCACCTGGAGATGGAGAGGCCACAATAGGGTTGCCACCTCATCCCTTTAAAACCAAACACATATTAATGACACAGGTTCTGTCGCTGATTAAGGTGGTAATTAAACTCACTTAGTGCCTTATCTGCATTAAATTAGCCTCAGAACCTGTGGAATTCATGTGTTCGGGTTTAAAGGGATGAGTTGCCACATATATGCGTATGACCGTCAGGATGTAGTTAAAAATCACTAAACACTGCATTGTTCAAGTATTACTATCTGTGCTTATATGTATGCATAACTATTGAGAGTCTGGGAGTGTATGATAAGCAACCAAAATAAACAAAGGCTTATGTGCTGAAGCACCCATCTTCTATTGTCCGTGAAAAGCAACTAGACTTTTTAGACGCTCATTACCAAACCCGCTTATTTTAGCTGCCAAGATAGTCACTCTCACTTTAGGCAGACACATTTGATTTCTAATTATTTCCTATTGGTAACTATCTCTCACCTCTGTACTCTCTTAAAAAACTATAAAGTGACCTTCAATAATATTATACGAGGTGCCATCAAAAAGTTTCAAGACTAGTTTCGTAACACGCCAACAGCTGGCAGCACAAGGCTGCACGCACAGTCACAGGGAGCACCGACCTTCATAAGACAGTGTGCCGAAAGACACAGTCCTGTGTACATCGGGAGCTATGTGACTGGTGCTATTCTGACCACGTGCGTTTTCATCATGGACAGAAAGTTAGAACAAACAGCAAACGTGAAACACAAAACTAGTCTCAAAACCTTTTGATATCACCTCGTACTTGAACACTAGATGTAAGAGTAAACAGGGAAGGCAGTGGACACAACCTTATCATTATTTGTGTGCGTGTGTGCAATGTTAGTGTGTGTGTTTATATTCTATCTACAGTCCATGTGCTTTGTAATCTTCTGCAGGTAAGCACACAACTAATTTACACATATCAATCACACCAGCAACAGGAATGCCACACACCAAGATGCAAAATAGTATTCTTCTTTTACTAAAACAGCCAGGAGGAACAGGTTCTATTCTGACATGATTCACACTAGGCCCATTGCTTTCTCAAAGAATGACAAAGCCACTACTCATACATTATTGTACAGAAAGGTTATTTAATCCCACATTGTCATTAACCCCTCATTATTCAAAAATATTCAGCTTCCTTGTGCAATACAAAAACGTGTGTATAAAAAAATGTAAAATATTTTTAAAAATTAATTTGCACTTATGCCTAGCAGGGTCCTTCATTTATGCTTGCTTGCTAAAATAAAATAAGGCGGAATCTAAGACATTTGTTTACTCTTCTGATTCACATTACCCTTAATCTATCAATGCTACTTTCCTTTTAGAAAATATAGTTACAAGAAACACTTATTTCTTACAACTGAAGTCTTGATACGATCTTTATTGCATAGTTACATTGGATCAGCTTGGACCAATGTAAGTGTGCAAATCTCATACCTAAGTTAGGGCCCTTTCACACCAAATGAAGTGGGATGCAGTTGGATGCATCTTGGAGTGCACTCCAACTGCATAAACAGTCCAAAATCCAGGCTATCCTATGGCCATAGTTCACACCATTGCAGTGCAGCGCAGTGCGGTAAAGTACAGCATGCTGCATTATTCTGCACTGCAAATGTGCAAAAACAAATGCATTGCAACATATCACAGTGCGCAAAGAAGCCCAAGGGAAGAAAGAAGTGACCTCACAGGTCAAATGCAGATAGAAAAGCGTGCGTCAACTGCATGCCTCAAATGCATGCATAGGTACAAGGAAAAATCACACAGTTACATGCCGTTTCTGGTGTGAATGGACCCTTACTTTCTGTGGAAGGTGACAATCACTGTAGTCACAATCTACTACAAATCTGTGCCAAGCGGTTTCCCTTCTGCATAGTGACCACAGGGAGGTTATATGTGCGTGACAATACCTATCTGCCTTTCTACCTTGTCCATTCATTCAAAAATACAAGGAGTTCTGTGAATGATGGCGGTGCTGATAAAGTGATCCTTTGTGGTCAATATGCAGCTGACTGATCGAAATAAAAAAAAAAAACAAGAAATGATTCCTCCATCCACACAAGCATGGTGGATAGAGCAGTCCTCCCCACTGTGCCATTGTATTCTGACAGTGTAGACCCCGCCACTGTCAGAATACACTGATGAGCACTGCAGTAAATTGCCAGCATCCCGTTCGACAAAGAAATGGCCATAGATGGATTGAAATTTGGCTGAACTGGCTGAATTTTCGATCCATTCATGTCAAGCTTAATATTGGTCTAAGCTGAACAAATGCAAGCCTACATTCGCATGGACAACTATAACTGGTGCAAATGAGAGCGGCATGAATCTGTTGACAGGTTTCTGGTGGCCACAGCTATCTATGGCTGTCCACACAGACGGTGATTACCTGCAGTGAATAGCTGCAGCCACTGCCGACCTGTCATTGAAGTGTACAGGGCTCTGCCGCTGCTCACAGGCAGCAAAACAGTAGCAGGAATCAGCATATTCCTGCGGCCGTCAATCGCACTGGTGCTAGTTGCCCATGTGAATGTAGCCTAACTTTGCAATAAAGATCGTTCCTGGAGTTTAGCTAATACAACGAAGTTGCCTTTGATTTGCTTATGTTACCTTGTAAGAAGTTTTGACTTCCTGGCACAGCAGCTCCACCAGAGGCTTGTAGTAATCTGATGGTAAAACAGTCTCATCACGGAGCCGCACCTGCAGCTGAAGAGAACCAAGGTTTCCCCTGGATAAAAAAAAGGAAGAGCTAAATGCAACAATTATAGTTATAATAGAAAATCTGTCACAAGAGAAGTATGTACACTGCAACACTGACTTCTACTAAAAATCCCTGCCATCTGTCTTTCACACTTATAATCTCCTTTCCTTAGTAAGTTTACGTCAGAATAAATATGCAACTTTTGAAGTTAGAACTCTGCATGACAGTCAGGCAACGGACATTTTCAAAATTCTCACATTTGTTATAGTCTGCATCTATCAGAACTGTTGGTACATTGTAAGATGTTTTGTAATAGCACTATATACACCTCTCTACGTTCAGGATGCTCCTCATAAAGTCTCAGTCAAGGGGGGTTCTGCTACCGGTCGCTCGCGGATCCATGATACACAACACCTCATGGCTCCGGTTAAGTTTTTCACTTGGAATGCCCGCGGGATCCGTGATAAACTCAAACGGTCAACCATGTTCAACTGCCTTAAAGCCCATTGGGCAGACATAGTAGTGCTGGTCGAAACGCATGTCACAGGCCAACTTCAGCTGATCTTAAACCACCCATGGATAGGCTGGGCATACCATGCCACACACACTCAGTATTCTTGTGGGTATCTGTGCTGGTGACTAAAACGGTACAATTTAAATTGATCTCCCTTAGTATTGACCCCCTAGGCAGATACATTTTTATGCATGTAACCTTGTATGGTCGCCCCTATTTAATCCTGGCTTGTGATATTCCACCCCCGTATAACTCCGGAGTGGTCAGTGAGGGTTTTCTTTTCATGGCTCATCACACAACGATACCTGCAATATGGCTTGATGACTTCAATATGGGTTTGAATCCCACTCTGAACCGACTGCACTCCTCAACACACCCCCCTACCCTGACGACAACCAGACTTAGTTGTTTGTTTACTGACTTTGCTCTGACAAACACCTGGCATTATAGATACCCCCACACACAGGCATTCTGTTGTTTTTCGGCAACTCACCCCACCATGTCCTGTATAGATCTCATACTGGTGTCCGCAATTTTGCTACCTCTATTGGAAGATGCAGGATTCCACCTGAGAATATTATCTTACCACTCCCCTTGCTGGACCACTCTTTGTTTAGCCCCACAAGTAGAACCCTCCTCATGGCGGTTGCACCCTTTTTGGTTATCTGCCCTAACAGATCATGAGGATATCCAACAGGAATGGCAATACTACTTTAATGCCAATCGCAACACAGCGTCGGTGGGGTTGGTGTGGGACTCATTTAAATTACATGCCCGTATGGTGCTATCAACACGCATTAATAAACTGAAAGCCTCTTCTAACCTCGCTCTGCGACCGTTTGACTTCCTTGGCTAATACTTTCCAGGCTGACCCCTCCTCTTCAAACTCCGCTGCGTTATGCTCTCACACTCGTCTCGTTGAACAGCTACACTTTGTAAAAGCCAATCAACTTTTTTTTTACCTGACCGCGTATTTTTGAACAGGGGGAACGAGCTGGTAAACTGTTAGTCCACTTGGCTCATCAGAACTTGAGACCACCAGTGGTCATTACACTCATGGACCCTGGCGGAACCCGTGTCACTGACCCAAAGCTGACCATTGTGGAATTCTGTAGGTACTATACTTCCTTATACTCCTCTCAGGTGATGGTTGCAAGTCAGGAAATCCATTTATTTCTGCAAAATATAACTCTCCCACGGTTGTCTGTATCCCAGAAGAATGACCTTGAGGCCCCTATCTCTGCAGAGGAGATTGCCATGGCTATCACCACCTTAGCCCCAGTGAAGTCTCCTGGCCAAGATGGACTTCCCCTGGAGTTCTATTCTACCTACTCGGAGGTTCTGGTTTCGGAACTACAGCATCTCTATGAAAGTATTTTCACATATGCGTGAAGCTCTTATAATAGTGATCCCTAAACCTGGCATGGACCCCTCCCATCTAGAATCATATCGCCCTAGTTCCCTTTTTCAGGTAGACATTAAGATCTTGGCTAAAATTTTGGCTTTACGTCTCAACCAGATTATCCTATCTTTAATACATCCTGACAAAACATGATTTATGCCGGGGAAAAACACTGCTATGAATATTCATCGTTTATATATGAATAAACAAGCCTCCCATGATGAAGTCGGTACTAGGGCAGTGGTGATGCTGGACACTGTGAAAGCGTCCGACTCAGTGGAGTGGAGATATCTCTGGGAGTGTCTGGAGGGCTTTGGTTTTGGGCCCAATTTCATTAAATGGGTGCAATTGCTGTATTACTCCCCTATTGCCAGGGTGGTCATCAACAGGTGGATATCAGACGCATTTCCCTTGGGCCTAGGGACTCATCATGGTTGCCCTCTGTCCCCTTTGTTGTATGCGCTTGCGGCATTACCCTTTGCTCAGACGTCATCCTGATATTAGAGGCCTCCACGTAGGTAGCTTGGTGGAATCCGTTGGAATGTATGCAGACGATATGCTTCTTTACCTGGCTGACACAGGCCCCTCTCTAAGCACCGCTTTATTGGTTATTGAGGAGTATGGAACACACTCTGGGCTACGTGTCAACTGGAGTAAGTCGCAGATCCTTCCCCTAGATGCCTGTCCTCCATCATACATTTCTGGTACCCTGCCCTTATGCAGAGTCTCTACAATTCCATATCTGGAGGTATATGTTACCAGAGAGCTCCGAGACTACCCGACGCTTAATATTGAGCCACTATTTAGCATCCTCAAGGCAATCATCCAATCGTGGGCAAGGTTCCCACTGGGGGTTAAGGGAAGAATTATCCTAGTTAAAATGATCCTCCTGCCTAAATTCCTACATATTCTGGCACTCCTCGATACTGCTACCCCTGAAAACCTTCAAAACACTTGATGGAATTCTTAATTCATTAATTTGGGGATCGGGTAGACACAAGCTCTCTTGGCTCGTTCTCAAGAACCCTACTACGATGGGGGGAGAGTCCCTCCCAGATTTTCACTCTTACTACTTGGCAACACATTTTTTTCACCTAGCTAAATCAGAGGCTGATCATTACCAGGCCCTGGTGTGTGGGCAGCCGGTCGTACCTTTCCCGCCCCCCTGCAGGTGGCGTTGCGAGACAGTGGGCATCTTAGTACGCATGCACCTCGTGACACAATAGCGTAGTGGAGGGGACCAAATCCCGCTGGGAGCCAGATATTGGGCCATTGGAGACAGAGATCTGGGATGAGATATTAGAAGGCACCAAGTTGGCTTCACCAAGACTCCATGACAGACTTACTCAGCTTTATATAGTGCACCAAGCTTACCTTACCCCATTTCAGGTCTCTAGATTTTGCCCGAGCAGAGACGTCTTTGCCCACAAAAGCCTCAGGGACCATTTCGGGTCTCTCGACTTTGCCCTGAGCAGAGCCCTCTTTGCCCCCGATGCCTCAGGTACCCTGGCACCTTTTTCCACCTTATATGGTCCTGTCCAATTGTCCAGATGTACTGAGAAGAAATCATCAAGTTCCTGCATAATCATATGGGCTCACCTTTACAACTAGATCCCAAAGTGTGTCTTCTTGGTCTCCTAGACCTGCCCGAGGACAAATTCCTTGTTATTCTCTTACGTGAATCCCAATTTAGTGCCCGAAAATTAATCGCATGCCACTGGATGCAGACGACTGTATCCATCCTTCAGGCATGATTAATAGACGTCAATTCAGCTCTTCTGTATAAGAAACTTATTTATACTCACAGAGGATGCCCCACGAAGTACAACAAAATATGGGATAGATGGCTTTCTTCCCCCAACACCTATGCAACCTGACATAATAGAATTGTTAGTGGTTTGGTTTCCCCTGCTCCCACCCCTTTACCGGAACTTGTACTACTCTAGCCCCAGGCATTCAATATCAGTGCACTTTGCTCAGTTGTTTGATTCATAATATGTATGCTGTCTACTCTTCTTTTGTCGCGCCAACAATCTTCTGGTAATGCTCCTTGTTGTAACACTTGTAGGTTCCTACCGCTGTAACATCTGTTATTGATGTACCACGTTTTTCCTCTTTTTTTTTTGTATCTGATGTTCACAACAATAAAGTTCTTTTAAAGTTTAAAAAAAACACTAAAAAACAAGAACGTGAAAAATCGCGGCAAAACGCCACTAAACGCTAATGCAAAAATGCTAAAAGACACTGAGAAACTCATGTTTTCAACGTGACTTTACACAGGTAATGTTACCAGCGTTATTAAAATACCCAGTGTGCATGGAGCCTAACTGTTTATTGGCAATACCCCACAGCCAAGCGAAAGGTATTTTATACTTGTGTTGTTATTTGTGCTCGCAGTGATTTAAAAAAACCAGGTGTTCTTGGAGTCGAGGTGCAGAACAGGGAACCTAAAATTACCAAGCGGCTCTTTCAGGGGTGACGTTACACAGATTTTCTGGATTTGTCTGTTTAAACACATTTGGTACAGGTGGAGTCGCTCCATATGCAAACCTGGAGGTGTGACAAATCCTATAAAGTAGCTGAGAGATAGTTGGGAGTGGTTTTATTAATCCAGAACTTGCAGTGGCAGTATCTTCTGAATACACCCTCATATCCATGGCTACAGTGGCGTATTTAGGTTTTGTGCTGCCCTAGGCAACACAAAAATCATCTGCCCTCATGGACACTGACCAACACAACCCCCCCTTCCCCCTCCCACGGAGAGAGCCTGCCATTATGTCATTGACCAACACCCCTGCCCCCCACCTGGGAGAGCCTTCCAGCCTCTCTCGGATCCCACCTTGTTCAAATGGTGTCCCTTCTGCCTTCTTCTGGGGGGAGGTGCTGCCCCATTGAAAAATGCTGCCCTAGGCAAGTGCCTTGTTTGCCTTCTGGTAAATACACCCCTGCATGGCTAGGCTTCTAGATTTTCATTTGGTCAATCATTGTACAATCTCCTTTAGATCTACCATCAACTATGTAGTGCAAGGGTCTCTTTGAATGGATACAGAGAGACTAGATAGATAGGTGTGTCCTCCTATTATAAAGTTTGGTAAATCTAAAGGAGATTGTACAGAGATTGTATAATTAGATAGTATACTGTTTGGCCACCTTTATACACCTAAAATGAGGTAGTCATGCTTTCTGCGACATTACTTATTAACAGCACCCCAAATGCGAAAGCAAACATACATTCTGCTATGCACAAAAATGTGTGACAAACGCAGCAAAAAAGACGTGCAAACCACAACATGCCCCATGATCTACTTTGTTGAACGTAGGGCAGCCAATTGAAATCAATGGGCTGACCTATGTGCGTTACAGGAAAAACGCACCACAAAATGTGCGCTTTCGCTAAACTCTAGATGTAAATGAGATGGGGCCTGAGAATAAAATTGGTGTGTTTACACAAGAACAATGACAGCTGAGTCTCCGCCCACTCTCCCCCATGTGCTTGTATAAAGCTGGCCATTCATTATGCAATCTGATTGTACAGTCTCTATACAATTTCCTTTAGATTTACCAAAAATTTGGAATAGGAGAACCTACCTGAACAATCCATTCAAATTGTATCAAATCAGACAGGCCCTTGCACTACATAGTTTATAATAGAACTAAAGGCGATTTTACAGTGTATGGCCACCGTAGAGGAAAAAGTAAGAAACTGGGTGGAAAAAAAAAAGTATAGTGATGGTATAGTAATGAGGGGCATGTGGTCCAGAGAGGTAAAACATGCCCTATTCCGTGATGCAGTAAGGCAGGGCATGATGAGATATGAAGTTTCCTGAATGGTCATGATATTACAGGAAGTAATGGGCTCGGAAATTTTGAACAGTGAGGTACAGATTCAAAGCTGGCATGGACTAGGTAAGTGAAAGACAAGCTCATCGGGAAGGCTTGGGCAGAAAATACATTAGAAGAGGTGTCTATTTATTTTGAAATGTGAAATTCTATCTGAAAAGGTGAACTTAGCTTTAAAGTATCTATTTTCTGTGTAAAAAAAAGCATATGTAATGAAAGAGTTTTTTTTTCCAATGATTGCATTGAAATTAGGGTTTGGGGTGCACAATGGCTTAGTGGTCATTGGTTTGAATCCCAAACCATGACACTACCTGCACTGGGTTTGCACGTTCTCCCTTGCGTAGATGTCCTCCGCATACTCTCGTTTCCTTCCACTCTCCAAAGCACAGTGCAGCATAGTGGCTAAATAATTAGCATTTCCACCTGGCAGTACTAGGGTCTTTTGTTCGAACCCCAACCATGGCACCACCTGCCTGGAGTTTGCATGTTCTCTCCATGTCTAAATTGTGTGTGTGTGTGTGTGTGTGTGTGTAAAGTGCTGCGTAAATTGATGGCGCTATAAGAGTACCTGAAATAAGAAGATATACTAGTAGGGTAATTAGCTCCTGTTAAAAATAGTATGTACATGTATAGTATGCACGTGACATAGGGACCTTAGATTGTAAACTCCTTGAGGGCAGGGACAATATTAGGCCTCATGCACAAAGGGGGTTTTTGCAGTCACTTTTAGGGGCATCAGGCGTTTTTTTTTTACTGCTTCCAAATGACCCTCTAGACTTTTAGAAGCTTTTATCAGCAGTAGCGTTTATCACCAGGAAAAAAACCCAGGGCCAATGCATCCAGAAGCAGCAGCATTTTGGCAGAAAAAATGCTTGACGGAGCTAATGAATTATCAATCTGACCAATGAAATGAATTAACACCTAAGCGATTGATGCTTGTAAATGCGCCTGAACGCTTGTAAAAGTGTTATATACTTTTACAAGTGTCTGGCGTTTTATTTGCAAAAACACTGCTGCCAGGAGGACAGCTTCTAGGAGAGTTTTTTTTATGTTCTGTGTGCAAGAGGCCTAATGCAGGCCATAGATGGGTCGAAAATCGGCCGATTTTTCGGCCGAAAAATAAAATCGGCCGATTTTCGGATCGTTAGTGGGCGATTTGGTCGGCTGTTTTTCGGTATTTTGGCCGTTTTTTTTTTCGCTAAAGTTGGAAAAAAATCGGCCGATTTTGCCGATCGGCCGATTTTCGCGCGGCAATTAGTGGGCAAATCGGACAACCGATAGAAAATCTGCGCATGAGCAGTGACCTGCAAGAGGAATCAAAAAGGAAAAAGAAGAAGAGGAAGAGGATGAAGAAGAAGAAGAGGAAGAAGAAGAGGATGAGGATGAAGAAGAAGAGGATGAGGATGAAGAAGAAGAGGATGAGGATGAAGAAGAAGAAGAAGAAGAAGAGGATGAGGATGAAGAAGAAGAAGAGGATGAGGATGAAGAAAAGAGGACGAGGATGCGGAAGAAGAGGATGAGGATGAGGAAGAAGAAGAGGATGAGGATGAAGAAGAAGAGGATGAAGAAGAAGAAGAAGAAGAGAGTATGAAGAAGAAAAGAGATGAGGAAGAAGAAGAGATGAGGATGATGATGATGAAGAAGAGGATGAGGATGATGATGAAGAAGATGAGGATGATGATGATGAAGAAGAAGAGGATGAGGATGAGGAAGAAGAAGAGGATGAGGATGAGGAAGAAGAAGAGGATGAGGAAGAAGAAAGAGGATGAGGATGAAGAAGAAGAAGAGGATGATGAAGAAAGATGAGATGAAGAAGAAGAAGAGGATGATGATGATGAAGAAGAGAGGAAGAAGAAGAAGAAGAAGAGGATGAGGATAAGGAAGAAGAGAGGAGAGGATGAAGAAGAAGAGGATGATGAAGAAGAAGAAGTATGGATGAAGAAGAAGAAGAGGATGAAGAAGAAAATAAGAGGAATGAAAATCCAGTCCAGCAAAAAATGTCTCTGCAGAGAGCTCCGCTATTTCTTTGACAGTTCTCTGACAGTTCCTTGACATTTACAGCGGTTGAAACATTGTATCTATTTGTTTCCGAATAAAAACATCTGTATCCTAAATGGAAACAAATAGATACATTGTTGCAACCTCTATAAATGTCAAGGAACTGTCAGAGAACTGTCAAAGAAATAGCAGAGCTCTCTGCAGGGACACTTTTTGCCGGCTCTAGACGGGATGAAAATCGGCCGATTTTTTTTACCATTGATGGTAACGTCGGCCACTTGAACGACCGATTTTTCGTTTTTTAAAAGAAAAATCTGCCATTTTTCTCCACATCTATGGCCTGCATTAGTGTACAATATGTGAAGCACCGAATGGTCAGCACTATATAATAACCTGTAATAATGATGCCTGTGAGACTCTTGCTCGTGGCACAGTAATTAAACCTCACCTCCAGGAATTACATTTTTTGCATAATTACATTGGGCCAGCTTGGCTCAATGTAAGTATGCATATCTGAAGGCTCCCCACCAGTACAACACAATACTGCTGCAGGAGAGATTCCCCCTACAACACTAACTGTGTTGATGGGGGAATCAAGCTATTTTCTTTCCTTCCACCCATGGTGCCTTAGTCAGAATCCATAAATATTAGTTTTAGCTAAAAATATTTTTTAGTAAAAACAACATTTCCAATAAAAATGCCAGAAGCTAAATAGCAGCAACCCATAGCAGTCAGTATTTACTTTACCAGATCAGTACAGTTTCTCATTGATTGATATGGGTACTGAGTAGCACGTAAATTTGTATTTTATTACTAACCTTGGAAAACCACAACATATGTCAATAATGTGTTGCTCCAAAGTTACAGATGTGGATATTTAAAACTCTGTTGGGAAATCTCCATTTCTCATTGCAGAATACTCCCTCTCTCCTTTTTTTTCAAATTCACAAACTGTTGGATTACTGTAGGCAACACTAAAGAATGATTCCCTTCTATTCTAAATTCCTCTTGGCTAACACGTTTACAGATATACCAAATATAGACCTGAATGTATAGATTTTGAAAGCTTCCTGTGCAGTTTAACTATTACTTAAAGTACACTGTAATCTAAAGGTTTGACATTTTCTTGGCTGAACAAACTTTCCAAAGACTTGGTGACTCATGAAGCAGTACACTTTTTCCAAAACTGAATACTGGGCAAACAGTCTGGATTATAACACAATCAGCCTAGATGTATAAAACAGAAGATCGTGTAACTAAAATGTCAAATGCATGTTGCATGCAGGCACTTTACACAAGAGAATACAGGGTGCGAAGGGGGAAAATTTCTGAAAATTAAAATAGGAAGCTGGGCACTAATGCGTGTTCTTTGCTAATCACTGATCTTATATTGCATCAAATCTAATATGTATTTTGTACCAGTGGTAAAACAATAGAGTTTGCAGAGGGCATAGCAGAGCTAGATATGGCCTAAAATATAAAGTTTGCTGCTCAACAGAATGGGAGTGTGAGAGCAGGGTGTTGATAAGTGGGTTATAATGCAGTGGGAGTTCTATATATAAAAGCGGTATTCTACACCAAAATCTCATTCAGTTTTTTAATGTTTACCTTTGGGTAAACCTATACCTCATTCATATATACATGGGACAGGATGTTATTTAAATGAACACCTAATGAACCTGAACGCAGAAACATCCAATAACCCCCTGACATGTTTAGGTGTTAGTACAAATGTCTTCATTGGTGCATTTTTGTTATGATGTATCCTAACCAACATTATCACCAAGCAGGCTCAAAGATAGTAATCTCATAAAGGAGCATAAAGAAATGTAGGTACCATATTTTCTAGGACAACTATATAACAATCAATCCCCTACTTGGATCTTCAGCAAGACAGACTGGAAGAGGACACTTGTACTACAAAGACTGTGGATGTATACAGTATATATAATATTTTACTGGATAGCTACTTACTCATCCATGCTGGCCTTGGACTTCCCAGGGCTAAGTCTGAACCATCCTTCTTCCTGTAAATCTTTCTGAAGTCCATTTACATTGATCACTATCTAAAACAAAATAAAAATAAAAAACCAAATTACAAATGTTTGCATCTATTAGCCCTCATATGTTGAGAATAGAATATTTTACTCATGAAATACAACTTACAGTAGCTTATCTGTGTCTATGTTAAAGTTCATCTGCCAGAAATTGGCATGATAAGAACCTCATTTATTGGAGAATAATCCTAAAAAATGAAACTATATTTTGATAACCCTGATTATCTAACAAAATGCATTTGGATCCCAATGGAAATGTTTCTACTAACACCTGAACATAACATGAAATCTCCAACAGGGCTCCACATATTTGTTTTATGGAAAGATACAGATGTTGTCAGTCCAATCGGCACTAAGCAGCCCAGGTGTCTCTGTCTTCTGGCTTCCCCCCTGGCCACCCTGTAAATACCTCTCCTGGGTCTCCACCCAGCCGCCACTGTTGTCAACCTCAGTGGGCAGAGGGCAAGAGGTACAGAAGGTCTGCCCAGCTTTCTTGTTTAGTCTTTTTATTGGTTTTCAAATGAGTATATAACCATACATTTTCACATACATGTTCACAGCATGCCTGCTGTATAACAGAAAAGACATAGTAAATGTACAAGTCTACCAATATTTTCATGTTAACAAGCAAGTGACTGGTTGCTAGGACTCAGGGTGGTCCTAGTATCAATCATCCGCTTATTAAGATGAAAAGTTGGGCAGCTCTCAACCTCTGTCCAGACCTTCTGAGCCCCCTGCCCTCTGCCCTGCTGTGTAAGGTAGAACTGTGAAGAGGGGCTGTGATGAGAAGGGGGACTGAGGATAATGATGTAAAGGGGGGACTGCAATGTAAAGGGAGGTTGGACTGTTATGTGAAGGGGAGACTTGATGTAAAACGTGGCTGTTATATAAAATAGGAAATTGGCTGTGATGTAAAGGGGGGCTGTCATGTAAAGGGAGGGACTGAGGACACTGATGTAAAAGGGTGAGTTAGATGTGAAGAGGTAAAGAGGAGGGGCTTTGATATAAAGGGGGGGGGGGGGCTGTAATGTGAAGGGGGACTGAGGACACTGATGTAAGAAGGGGGAACTGTGATCTCAAAGGGGGGCTGAGGACTCTGATGTAAGCAGGGGGACTGTGATGTGAAGGGGAACTAAGGACAATGATGTAAGAAGCTGACTGTCATGTAAAGGAGAGAGGGTGCTGGGATATAAAGGATCTAAGTGATTGCACAAGCATGAGATATGGACCCCTGATGGAAGTAAATTTTACTGACTAGACCTCCATGAGTCTGATACTCCTGGTCTATTCCATCCCTGCTATTTACCACTGGAAAATTTTTCACTCCATCAATCTGAAACCCAGTCCTGCTTTACGTGATTTCTCCAAAGTTTATTAGCAAAACAATAAGACCATGGCACATTTATTTATTTTATCATTTTAATCATGTCTTAAACTTCTGCAGCTCATCTGTTTTTTTTTATCTATCTATATTTAATCTTTGTTTTGGAATAAACATATTTTACATAAGAAAGGGTTCACGAGCACTGTGGGTTATCAAACAAGATAGCACAGCACTGTAGTTTTGGTTATGGCTGTTTGTCTGAAACCTTGGACATGGTCAAAGAGGAGTCACTGTTCCAATGCTTGAGTTTGTGTGAACAGCAAGCTTTTTTCAGCAGAGCTGGATTTAAGAGCAATTAGAAAGAACAGAATAAAGCTGAAATCCAGGCAAATATAAAAGGTACACAATAATGTCTCCCTGCAATCATTATTAAATCCATAAATACATTTTTAATGCAAACAGTGTAAGTGCATGAATTTGGTATCATCCTCTTGCAGTTTTCTTAGCACAGTCTGTACAGAAGAGCTCAAAAATGGAAAGGGAGAAACAGCACAAGGGGCCAATAAGGGTTGCTACCATGCAAGATGCATACTGCGTGGAAGAAAGAGCATAATGACAGAGGGATGAGCTCATCAGTGTGCTGCTTATCCTTTTATAGTCAAGTCAAATGGTGGGGGTGGGAAAAGGACCTGTAAGTGAAAGTGAAATTGCAGCAGAGGAAGATCAAGTCTCCTCCACTGCTAGACAGAGGTGTTTTTGTGAGCAGAGCTGTTTAAATCTCAAGACTGACAGACTTTGGCAAACAAAACAGTTCTCAAATACACTATATTGCCAAAAGTATCGGGACACCCCTTCAAATCATTGGATTCAGGAATTTCAATCACCTCCATGGCCACAGGTGTATAAAATCAAGCACCTAGGCATGCAGACTGCTTCTACAGACATTTGTGAAAGAATGGGTCACTCTCAGGAGCTCAGTGAATTCAAGCGTGGTACAATGATAGGTTGCCACCTGTACAATAAGTCCATCCATGAAATTTCCTTGCTACTCAATATTCCCCAGTCAACTGTTAGTGGTATTATAATAAAGTGGAAGCAACTGGGAACAATAGTAACTCAGCCACGAAGTGGTAGGCCAAGTAAAATGACAGAACAGGGTCAATGCATACTGAAACGCACAGTGCGCAGCAGTCACTAACTGTTTGCAGAGTCATTAGCTAAAGACCTCCAAACTTCATGTGGCCTTCAGATTAGCACAACAACAGTGCGCAGAGAGCTTCATGGAATGGGTTTCCATGGCCAAGAAGATGCATCCAAGCCTTAAATGACCAAGTGCAATGCAACGTTTGCTCGGATGCCGTGGCGTAAAGCATGCCAACACTGGACTCTAGAGCAGTGGAGACATGTTCTCTGGAGTAATGAATCACACTTCTCTGTCTGGCAATCCGATGGACGTGTCTAGGTTTGGCGATTGCCAGGAGAAAGGTACTTGCCTGACTGCAATGTGCCAAGTGTAAAGTTTGGTGGAGAGGGGGATTACGGTGTGGGTTGTTTTTTCAGATGTTGGGCTTGGCCCCTTAATTCCAATTAAGGGAACTCTTAAGGCATCAGCATAACAAGACATTTTGGACAATTTCATGCTCCCAACTTTGTGGGAACAGTTTGGGGATGGCCCCTTCCTGTTCCAGCAGGACTGCGCACCAGTGCACAAAGCAAGGTCCATAAAGATATGGATGAGCGAGTTTGGGGTGGAGGAACTTGGCTGGCTTGCATAGAGTCCTGACCTCAACCTGATAGAACACCTTTGGGATAAATTAGAGCGGAGACTTCGAGCCAGGCCTTCTCCTCTGACATCAGTGCCTGACCTCACAAATGCACTTCTGGAAGAATGGTCAAACATTCCCACAGACATACTCCTAAACCTTGTGGACAGCTTTCCCAGAAGAGTTGAAGCTGTTATAGCTGCAAAGGGTGGGCCAACTCAATATTGAACACTACAGACTAAGACTGGGAGGCCATTAAAGTTTGTGTGCGTGTAAAGGGAAGGCGTCCCAATACTTTTGGCAACATAGTGTATGTATTTAGCTTTAAGTAATAATATGTTCATTTTAAAACTCAGTTTATTACAAGTCTAAAGGTGTGGGCATGAAAGAAAGAAATGCTGTGTATTGATGCAAAGCCAATTTAGTTTTATACTGTACAATGCACCAACACAGAAGAAAGAAGAATGAGAGAAAGAAAATAGAAACATTGCTGAATATAGATACAAGCCAAAAATAGCAGCTAATTTTCTTGAGCTAGAACAGCAATATGAAGCAACTAACTCCCTGCTGGTTATGCACAAAAGCAGGAACATGACATCATAAAACTCACTGGCTGACAAAACACCAATCTGTAATCATTTTTAATTTCAAGTGGCACCATCCTGTAAGCAGCTTATTTTTTGGTTCACGTGAAATAGCTTTAAACAGCATCTTTACATCACCAACCATGAGAATTATAGATTCAGGCCTTGTAATAATCACTCTTCTAGGTATGGACTATCAGCATTTCAGATCTCAGCATTTGTGTTCCTAATTTCATATTAAAATAAATTCCCGGGGCAACTGGGTTGATGAGGGGTCGTTTGTCCATTGTCTATGCTTCCCTTGTCGATCCTCTCACTAAATTATCCTATATGACTCAATGGGAAAGGGACTTGAATAGCTCCTTAGATCTGAAAACTTGGCAGACTGCGGCCCATTCTCTATCAAAGATATCGATTAATACTGCTCTTATTGAATCCAATTACAAAACGCTACTTGGTACTTGGTTCCTACGTGCATCGCTAAAATATGTCCTTCAGTATCACCCAATTACTTCCGGCACTGCAGACAAGAGGGAACTATGTTTCATATTTGGTGGAAATGTCCAGTAGTGAATAGATTTTGGATCCGAATGTTAAATTTTATCTACTCGGTTACGGGAATTAATGTTACCTGCTACCGTTCCCAAAAAAATCGACAAAACTAATTCATTACCTCTTACTGGCGGCACGTATTACCATAGCTAGAAGTTGGGGACAATCATTGATTCCGCTAGATGGGGTTAAACAAAAACTTAATTGGATAATGGTAAATGATAAGTTAACTAGCATTGTCAATAATGATGAATCTAGATTTGAGGGAACGTGGGGACCATGGATCAGATATATCTCCATTGCTTAATAACGCCGCAGCTGACTCTTTCTCATTTTCCCTCCCCCCCCCCCTTTTTTTTTTTTTTTCTTTTTCTTTTCTTCTCTCCTCCTTGTCTTATCCTAGATCTTTTCTTTCGATCTCCCTATTCTTAACTTTTTTTCTTTTGAATTGGGGTTTTATATTGGTGGTTAATTTCTCTGGCGATGCCCTTGTCCATCGTCTGTTGGAACGTTTGCTACCTGGTGAGCATGCTGGTTTTTATATATATGCTGATATGTTCTATGACTTTGTTTATGCTCACCATTTCGCCATATGGGAGGAAATGTTATTGTTCCTATGCATACCACTGTACACCAATTCTCAATAAAAATATTGAAGTATAAAATAAATTCCCACAACCTGCTTGTACTTGGATATGTAGGTTTTCACACGTGTCTGTTTTTTGTATAATTGTATAAATATAATTGTATAAATATGTCTGAATAATACCTGAAGTAGTGTCTGTACTGCCTGTATCAATCATTAGGACCCACTGGGGGTTATTTACTAAAGCTGGAGAGCTGGAAGTTGGAAATCACTGAAGTAGACACTGCTACTCCAGTGATCGCCACGTGCTCCTATGCCAGGTGGCTACTGTGCTGCATTCTGAACACAGCATGTTGCCCGCTCAGTACAAGAGCCATTCAGAAAATCTTTTGCATGCTCTGAATGAATGCAAAGCATTCTCTGATTGGACAAAGTGCAGAGGCAGGGTGGTGTTCTCATGTTCTCCACCTCATCCAGTCAGGGAACACATTGCATTCATTCAAAAAATGCAAAGTGGCTGACCTCCTGTGTTCAGAATTCAGTGGACCAGCCACTCAGCACAGGACCCGGAAGCAAGTGGAGATCTCTAAAATAGTGGTGTCCACGGCTGTGATTTCTAGCTTCCAGGGGGATTGGCCAGTTAGGGTCATCTTTAAAAAAAGATAGAACAGGGGGTAGAAAGAACACCCCTGATCTAACAAGGCAAGACTCCAAGTTGAACAGGAACAAGTAATAATTATACATCCCAGAAATCATGATACTCCATGTCACAGGAGTTCTAAGAAACCACTGAGTGGTGCAGACCACCATACTCCCACAGCTTGCACCTAAAATATTACTTTTAGGAGGACCGACCCGAGGGACTCACAGATTGTATTACCATATTAAACATCAGGCAAGAAAAAAGGACATTACCTTTCCCAGGAAATCGTTTTTACTGACCAAATCCCAGTCCCACACTTCTATTGTTAACTTCTCATTAAAAGATTCATCCAATTCAAATTCAAAAGTCTCATTCCACCGTGGATAACATGATTTTTTCACAACCTGTGAAGTAAAACTTTGATAAATAGTGAACACATACTGAAAGTGGACAACTGCAGGCTAATTCAGTACTCCACTGGAAAAAACAAGGATGATGTTCAAAATTCAGTAATTCATGGTAAATGATGGTCATCTAGAAGCCTAGGCTGACATAGATTATATTGTGTGTATTCATGTTGCACAGCAGTTATTCTTGTTTAATATGAATTTTTTGGTGAAAATATTCTATTTACATTCATTAGATGACAAAAAATATCTGTGATTCTGCCAGAAATTCAGTGAATTCATATGCTTTCTACAGTGTTATCTCATGCGGTATTATCAGCCTTTCTCAGTTTACCTCAGTGGACTACAAAACTAGGTTAACAATCCCCTATGTTATGGAGATAAAAAAAGTGGGATGTGTTTTGTAATCTTTACACCCTTCCTGTCCTACAGTGACAACACTGGCATAAATATGATAGATTAGGGAGATACTATCACCCTAGACCAAGAAATGTGGTGGGATCCCCAGCTGAAAATAAAGGGAAAGAAAGCTTGTGAAAAGAGACTATGTAGTCACCACGTCTATTAAATTGTAAACTAGGATAAATTACATTTTTTTTCTTGGGTTTAGACCAGGGGTGGACTGACCATTTGGAAACGCGGGCACTGCCCGAGGGCCTGGGGTCGGTAGGGGGCCCCATGAGATGCCCCTGGTACCTTTTTCAAAGGCTTTTTTGAGTTTGGGCAAGGACACAGGGGCCCCATGATCCCCTATTGCCCGGGTGCACCATGAGTTGTCAGTCCGCCCCTGGTTTAGACATACCTTACATTTTCACCTTCTCTCTGCTGCTACACTGAAGGCTGCACCAAAGAAAATGGTTGCAAATGCAAGTGGATTTTTGAATTGACTTTGGTATTTTATTTGAGCTTAAAATAACATGGAACACAGGCAGACATACGTCAAGTTAAACAATTATGTAAACTGCTCTCTGAGCTTCCTGATGATTCACTATTATTATAATAAATGCTGCCCACAATGATGATCATTATTTACTGAGAGCTTTAATCAATATTATATTCATGGTATAAAAAATATATATGTAAGATCAATAATAACCAAGCAATTTTAGTAATAACTGTCTCTGACTTTTACTTTCTGTAATCAACAGAAGGCACATTGTATACTAATTTCATGGGCAGAAATAAACTGAGGAATAATAAGAAAGCCATACAAAGCACTTACTGAGCTCTCTTGAATTTTGCCATTGTACTGCACTCTGACAAATGGGTCTGATGCTCCGTTCCGGTCCTTTCTTGCCAAGTCCCTGAAAGGTAAAATGTAAACTGAGAGATAAAGCTCACTCTGGGATTAGTTGATTTTATGAAGGAATGTTAAACAGAGTCTGCAAGACACTTGGCTTTCTAGCTCTAGGATCACTGCCAAAGAAACAGCAAAAACTTTATTAGTGGATATATAATAGCAAAGATAGGGCTCTATAAAGAGGGCAAGTAATGGTTCTAGAAGTAATCCAACAAATTTAAGCACCAGCTACAATAATCTGAATGTGTAAAGATTAATAGCAGATATAACAACACCTTTCCAGTTTTATAAAGGTGCTTACCAATGTTAAAGTGAAACTTTATCCATAACACCTTGATACAAAATAATGTTCTTTAGCAAGGAACATAGATTCTCCATAATAATAATTATGCTACCAAAATTAGCTGTAAATTGCCTTCAGTATTGCTCTTGTTTCTTCTTGCTGGAGGCTGCCATTTTGCTGAAGCCCAGAGCCCCTGAGCAGCATGAAATCTTTAGGCTGTCAGCAGATCGGCCTCCACATTTTTGGCACAAAATAGAGAGCAACTGAGCATGTGCAGAGGAGGGTGAGACAGTGGGATTGATTTACTAAAGGTAAATATACTGTGTACTGCAAGTGCACCTGCTTTAGATCTGAGAGGAAGCTCTGAAATGAGGCGAAGCTCTGGTGATTTCTTTCATCCAATCATGTGCAAACAAAAATGCTGTTTATTTTATTTTCCTTGCATGTTCCCCTCAGATTTAGAGCAACTGCACTGTCAGTGCACTTCCAAGTGCAATTGGAGGGCACTTGCAGTGCACAGCCTATTTGCCTTTTGTAAATCAACCCCACCTGTATTACTGGAGTTTAAATAGTATAGACACTTATTTTATTGTTTTACAAAGCTATACCTACAAAAGGGGCCAATCTGAAGTGATCTAGCAGGACTTTATGTTCTGACTACATTCATACATACAGTGTACATTCACCTTATTTGGGTATGGTCAAGAAACTTAAATTATATTTCCATTTTTTTGCAGCCAAATTGGGATAACAACTACTATTTGTTACATAACCCAATTCACATAGCATGACTAAAACAATATTTAAAAATTGCAGCTTACTTCTTTTAGGTGTTCTTTTCTAGACCCTCCAGCAAGGAAAAATCCTAGGTACTTCATTTTGTTTAACCATTTCCATAGCGGGCACTTTTACCCCCTTCGTGCCCAGGCCATTTTTCAGGTCTCAGCGCTGTCACACTTTGAATGACAATTGCGCAGTCATACAACATTGTACCCAAACTAAAATTTTATTATTTTCTTCACACAACTAGAGCTTTCTTTTGGTGGTATTTAATCACCACTGGGGTTTTTTATTTTTTGCTAAATTAACAAAAAAGAACTGAAAATTTTGAAATAAAAACACGTTTTTCTTTGTTTCTGTTATAAGAGTTTGCAAATAAATAATTGTTCTTCATAAATTTAGGCCGATATGTATTCTGCTACATGTCTTTGGTGAAAATAACCCAAATTAGGATGTATTTTTTAGTTTGTAGGAAAGTTATAGAGTTCACAAACTATAGGATATATCTGAATATTGATCAATCCTGAAGTACTGACAGCCAATCTAATTTCTTGAGGTTCAAGAATGTCAGAACAGTACAGATATCCTTCAAATTACCACTTTTTGCAAAGTAGACAGTCCGACGTACTTCATAAGAGGCATTGCAAGTTTTTTGAAGTTGTATTTTTTTTGTCAGAATTTTTCAGAAAATGAAAAAATTAAAAAAATGTTCACAATTTTTTTTTTTTACATACTGTCACCAGTGCAGTACAGCGTCATCATATAACTGGCATGGCGGTGATCAGGGACACTGACTGGCGACAGTATGAAAAAAAATTTTTTTTTAATTTTTTTTATTATTTTTAATTTTTTATTACATTTTTTTTCTTTTTTTTTAAGATTTTTTTTCATATTTCACTATGACCAAAGTAGTACAATGTTACCATAGTAACATTGCACTACTTTGGGGAAGTGATCAGTATTTGTTTTTTACACAATTTGCTTATAGCAAATAATTACTTTGCTATAAGCAAGCATTTACCTGAATGACATTGATTCATTCAGGGTTTTTTTTTTGTGCTTAGCTGTGATTTGGCCACGGCTAATCACATGACACCGCTGGGCTGTGATTGGCCCAGCTTGTGCATGTGATCGCTGTGACCACTCACAGCTAGGCACACTAGTATATAATGGATGGCATGAATGAAGCCATCCATTGTATACAACTGTCATGTGACCTGCTGTGATTGGTCAGATCACACGGTACGAGGTACACGGCCGGTGACAGATCGCGGCTCTGCAGGCGCGCAAACTGCCATATGGCGTCCACCCAGAACACTGAGGAATTTTGCCGGCCGCCATCTGGCCATAGGCTGGGCGGGTAAAGGTTAAGGAGCTGGACAGCTGTGTTTGCCATAATTAACCATGCCTGCCATGCAGGCAGATCTTCATAATCAATTGTAACTAGATTTGAACACTGTCTGTCCTAAAGAGTGAAAGAATAGGTTCACCTTTCGTAACATGTTACATGTTACACACATATTCAGGGTATAACATGTAACATGTTATGAAAGGAATTCCCCCCCACTCCCCTGTTTTGACAGCTAGTAGGCAATCTTCTGCCCTTGCTAGCTGTTACAATTTAAAATAACATGGCCATGTGGGGCTCCGCCTGCTCACTCATTCATAGTATTCTGTGAATGGGAAAATTACAAGTTCCAACATCCTTTGCAGCTGTCAGCTGTGGTAGTTCACTGATTCTTCCTGTCAGAGTGTATCTGCTTGCCCGTACAAAGTACAAGCACACAGATACACTGACAGGTCTGCAGGAGTCCTGCATGGCACTAGCAAATTGCTGATTGCTGGTGCAATGCTTTCCAGGCTCCCAAAACAAAAAATAGTAAATGCACATTTTTTTACCAGCAAAAATAAGTGCATTTATTATTTTTAGTTAAACGGTGAACCTATCCTTTAACCACTTCAAGTCCGGACACTTTTACCCCTTCCTGTCTAGGTCAATTTTCAGCTTTCAGTGCTATCACACATTTGAATGACAATTGCGCGGTCATGCAACTCTGTACCCATATGAATTTTTTAGCATTTTTTTGAGACAGATAAAGCTTTATTTTGGTGGTATTTATTCACCAATGGGATTTTTTTTTTTTGCTATGTAAATGAAAAAGTCCAAAAATTTTGAAAAAAAGTGATTTTCTTATAAAATTTTGCAAATAAATAATATTTCATCATAAATCTAAAAATTTATTTTATTATCTTTTTAGTAAAAAAAAAATAACCCAAATTAGTTTATAACCAAAAATTATAATTGTTAAACTTTTTTTTCACATTTTTATTTTATTTTTTTATATTATTATTTTTTTTACATACTGTCACCCTAGCAGTACAGTGTCACCAGTACAGTGACACTGTACTACTTGTGGGGGGTGATGAAGATTTTTTTTTTTTTTTTTTACACTGATTGCTTTTACACCCATAAAGGCTGTAAAAGCAATCATTTCTCCTTCTCTCTGGCTGCATTCTTGCAGCCATTGAGAACTACTGTGTGAGCTGTGATTGGTCACAGCTTGTCACATGGTACAAAGCTGTTGTGAATAGCCTTGTACCATGTGACCTCTGTGATCATTCACAGATTTCACACGTAGTATGCAATGATGTCACAAGTGACATCTTGCTTACTACTCTGCATGTGATCACTGATTGGCGAATCAGTGATCACATGATCGGGACCTCTCAGAGGTCCCGTCCGACGATTGGTGTTCCAATGTGTCCTGGGAGGTCCCAGGGAGTGCGCACAATCAGGGGCAGGGAGGCCATTTATAAACAGCCACCCGCCCCTGCACTGCCACCGTCCGGCCGTTTATATACAACGACTGGATGGGAAGTGGTTGAAGATATATGTTATATGATATATCAGTATGTTACTGAAGACAGACTTGGGACAGGCTCACTCTAAACCCTTGCAGTCAGCCATGTCACCTCCTCTTGGGAAACATCTAAAAGGTAAACAAAAAATTTTAAAACATTTAGGCATGTTGGGTAAATGGGAACACATAACAAACATACTGTCTATTGGGGTTTTCTCACATTTGACAAAGTAGAAATACGTTTTAAGTATGTGAGCGCTGGCCAACAGCTCCTCAACACACAATGACTGAAATGATTGGCCTGGATAGACCCCCCCCCCCTTTCCTATTGTAAACCTTGCAGGTTAACCCAATGCGAGCAAGTATATTACTACAATGATCCTTTGTACCTTAAAGTGTTTCTAAAGACTGAAGGTTTTCTACCTTACTGCATTCTATGCATGAAGGTAAAAACCCTCATTGTGCAACTCCCCCCTTAGCCCCCCCCCCCCCTTGTACTTACCTGAGCCTATCCCACTCCAGCGATGTGCACAAGAGCATTGGCTCTCCCAGGTCTCTCCCTCCTCATTGGCCCAGACAATCACAACACAACCTGTGAGGAGGGAAATGGGGACAGGGCCAAGCCGCACTCTGTGTATCTTATGCACACACAGAGCAGCTTGCAGGAAAGGACCGAGAAGGATCAGTGCTGCTCTGTGCAAAACCATTACACAGAACAGGTATGGCATGTTTTTTTTTTTTTTTTTGTAATTTGTACCTTTACAATAACTTCAGGTGCATCTTATCACAGGAAGATATTTTCACACATGTTGAAAAAAATCTGTGACTAAACACAAATCATTTATTTCACTTCACAGGAAAATATATATTAGATGCCTGTTGATTTCAGTAGGTTCACACAACAATCAGAATGGCTTTGGGATACCACAGATTGTACCATACATCACCAGCCTACCTTGGTTTAGAATACTGAGCATGTTGAAAAGTTTCAAGAGATAGCTTCCTGTTCCTGTGCACTGCAGAGATACATATCAATGCCGAAGAGTATAGACTAGTACAGTGGTCGGCAAGCCGCGGCTCGCGAGCCACATGCGGCTCTTTACCCAGTCTAATGCGGCTCTTCTGTGTGCCGGGCGCCTGCTCCCCTCCCTCCTCTCGGTCGGCCGCTCCCCTGCCTCCTCTCGGTTGGCAGCCCCAAAAGTCCGCGCGGACCTTTTAATCCGGCCTGCGCATGTGGCTGTCAGGATGTGTGTAGGCGGGGCAGCGTGCCGAACGTGAGGGGAGGGGAGCTAGGCTCCTCTCACAGTCCGCCCTGAAGACCCGAACGGCGCGGGAAGACAGCGAGAGGAACGCAAAAGGTAAGTGAATTGACACGGGGGACTTGGCTTACTAGAAGGGGGGGGGGGGGGGGAATAGTACTGTGGGGGATGAAATACTATATGAGGGATGAAATACTATATGGGGGGATGAAATACTATATGAGGGATGAAATACTATATGAGGGATGAATTACTATATGAGGGATGAATTACTATATGAGGGATGAAATACTATATGGGGGGATGAAATACTATATGGGGGGGATGAAATACTATATGAGGGATGAATTACTATATGAGGGATGAAATACTATATGGGGGGATGAAATACTATATGAGGGATGAAATACTATATGGGGGGGATGAATTACTATATGAGGGATGAATTACTTTATGAGGGATGAAATACTATATGGGGGGATGAAATACTATATGAGGGATGAAATACTATATGAGGGATGAAATACTATATGGGGGGATGAAATACTATATGAGGGATGAATTACTATATGAGGGATGAAATACTATATGGGGGGATGAAATACTATATGAGGGATGAAATACTATATGGGGGATGAAATACTATATGAGGGATGAAATACTATATGGGGGGATGAAATACTATATGAGGGATGAAATACTATATGAGGGATGAATTACTATATGGGGGATGAAATACTATATGAGGGGATGAATTACTATATGAGGGATGAAATACTATATGGGGGATGAAATACTATATGGGGGATGAAATACTATACGGGGGATGAAATACTATACGAGGGATGAAATACTATACGGGGGATGAATTGCTATGGGGGATGAATTACTATATGGGGGATGAATTACTATGGGGGATGAATTACTATATGGGGGATGAATTACTATGGGGGATGAATTACTATGGGGGATGAATTACACTATGGGGGATGAATTACACTACGGGGGATGAATTACTATATGGGGGATGAATTACTATGGGGGATGAATTACTATATATGGGAGATGTATTTTCAGTTTTAAAAATGTGGCTCTCAAAATAAATTTCAATCATGGTTTTGGCGAGATTTGGCTCAGTTGAAAAAAAAGGTTGCCCACCACTGGACTAGTAGGACACAAGCACATCTGCAAAAGATTTTTTGATGTTTGGATGTCTGCCTAGTGTCCAACCAATAACAAATGTTTTTGCCCATATTAAAATTTTTTGTTATACATTGACACTGCATAGAATAATATTTTAGTGTTGTCTATTGGTCTAGTGCTATAGGCTCATCAATGAAGCTTTTTAGCTTTTTAGTCAATAACATGTAATATCAAATAAAACAAATGTCTAACAGTTGACACATGAAAAGTATTTTATTACTACAAAATAAATACTGCCAAAATATAATTAAACGGAAAAGCAGAAGCAATAACATGTCAAATGTATAACTTTTAAGAAAATTAACATTAAATTCACCTGAGAATCAAAAGTCTACACTTACTTTGTTGTTTTCAGTGGCATTTAGTCTAAGGTAACCCCTTCACTGAGCTGCTTTGATGAATTAAATGTTCCCTTGATGGTACTTAATAAAATGACATAATCGTATTTTCTAGGTCACCAGAATAAAAAAAAAAACTCAATACAAATGACCGGAATCAGGAATTATATTCTCTAAAAACCCATAAGAAGATGAAATGAAGGGTATACAGAATATTGCAGATGACACACGTTGAATGAATATTTAAATATAAATATATTTATTTTTTTGTGCTAACAAATGATAAGCAATGACCCTGAATGGCAAGCAAACAAGGATGCCATTCAATACAGGGAAAGCCCACCTGCTCCTCTTACGGATTTCACTCTATTAGGAACACAGTCTTAGATTCTATAGCCTAAGCTCCTGATGGAGTGAAACATGTAGAAGGAGCAGTTAGTCTTGTATTGGATAACATTAATAAACATAGTAGGACTTTTGGAAGTTGAATTGCTCCATCCTGGTCTGTTTGCCACTGATGTTATCAGATCACGGACCATTCTGGAGCCTGCATCCTTCAGTCAATGGAGCAGTGAGGGGAGGCTTGTAGAAGAGTGGTTGAGATGATTTACAATAACCTCGCAACCTGGTGCATTGAAGCATTGTGTTAATCAATAATGTACATGCAGCATTTTGGCAACACAGCACTCTGCAATGCAATTAAGGAAACAGAATTTTTGCTTGTAGGACTGGATAATTGAAGCGAATACAACTTTATGTCATTCACTAAGCAGTGAAAATTCCCTCTGCAAAGAGAAAATATGTTTTGGAAAGAAAATAAAAGGGAAAATGTGATTATCTAAAATCATTTTCTCCAGTAGCTCATTGTGGGACACATTCTTTGACCTCTGAGTATATGCTCCTGTTAGGCGGTTGAACACTAAGAAAACTATAAAGGCACAGCCCTGCCTAGTGGCTTTACCCCTGCACATACTAAGGCTTCATGCACACTAGTGTATTTTATAACCTCTAGAAAAAAGTGCCGGGTAAAAAAAAGCTACTAGCGTTTTTGTGCCAGCTTCTAGTAGCGTTTAGTACCATTTTTAGGAGCATTTGGGAGCGTTTTTTCTGCCGGTAAAATGCTCCCAAAAACTCTACAAAAACAATTTTTTTTTCTGCTCCTAAATGCTGAAACTTGAAAAATGATTCTAGCCTAAGATAGTGTGCATGGACACATAGAATAACACTGTTAGCTTTTTGGAGCAGAAAAACAATTGCTCATAATAGCATGTTGCCTAAATAGGAGCAGGAATAGCAAGCAGGAAATAAACAGCAAGTGAGTTTTTAAGGACACTTCCAGTGGCTTTTCTTCTTTTTTAAGCTCCTTTTTTGCCCATTTTTAATAAAAGAAAGCTCAAACAAAGTTCCAGTGGTTCAACAGGGGGCCCTGAAACACAGAAAGTACTAGGTTTAGTTACCTGTGTTTATTGAAGGACACAGTAGAGCTCTTGAATCTCTTGCCATTGGGTTATAGCACCAAACTCAGGAGCAGGACACTAGGCAAGCAAACAAAAGCCTAGGAACAGCCCCCGACAGTGGCCACACCCGCATTTGTTAGAGGCAACTCAGTTAGACACAAGCAGTACATAAAGAACAACAGAGGAGGGTACTGTGTCCTTCAGTGAACAGAGAGAAAGAATTTATGGTGAGTACTAAAATTCCATTTTCTCTTTCTCTTCATTGAAGGACACAGCAGAGATCTTGAATCTCTAACCATTGGGATGTCCCAAAGCAGTGTCTACTGAGGGTGGGAAAACTAAACAACTCTCCTTAGGCAGGAACAGTACAATATCATCTGAAGATACACAAGCTGTAAATGGAATACAGAGAAAGATGTCGCCTAACTGAGTACATGCAAGGGCCAAATTTACCCAGATAAATGGCCTTAGTGGCCTGGAGGCCTCTTCTAGGGAGCTTGGAAAGAGTCAGTCTTCCAATGAAAACAGAGTCTGTGAGGGAACCCTGCCCATCATAAAGTACATCTAGACCAGGGGTGGGCAAACTTTTTGACTTGAGGGCCGCAATGGGTTCATATATTGGACCGGGGGCCGGACCAAGAGTAGATGAATGATGTGTATGTGTCATCCATAGTAAGTATAGTAATATTCCCCCATAGTAAGCATAGTAATTAATCCCCCATATAGTAATTCATCCCCCATAGTAATTCATCCCCCATATAGTAATTCATCCCCCATAGTAATTCATCCCCCATATAGTAATTCATCCCCCATATAGTAATTCATCCCCCATAGTAATTCATCCCCCATAGTAATTCATCCCCCATATAGTAATTCATCCCCCATATAGTAATTCATCCCCCATAGTAATTCATCCCCCATATAGTAATTCATCCCCCCTATAGTAATTCATTCCCCATATTAATTCATCCCCCATATAGTAATTCATCCCCCATATAGTAATTCATCATATAGTAATCCCCCAAAGTAATTCATCCATCCCCCATATAGTAATTCATCCCCCCTATAGTAATTCATCCCCCCTATAGTAATTCATCCCCCATATAGTAATTCATTCCCCATATTAATTCATCCCCCATATTAATTCATCCCTCATATAGTATTTCATCCCCCATAGTACTATTCCCCCCCAAGTAGTAAGCCAAGTCCCCCCTGTGTCAATTTACTTACCTTTGCTCCGCGCGTTCCTCTCGCCGTGTTCCCGCGCCATTCCGGTCTTCAGGGCGGACTGTGAGAGGAGCCTAGCTCCCCTCACGTTCGTCACGCTGCCCCGCCTACACACATCCTGACAGCCAATGTATCACGCTCCGCGGGCCAGATTAAAAGGTCCGCCAGGCCGTATATGGTCCGCCGGGCCGTATACGGCCCGCGGGCCGTAGTTTGCCCATTGCTGATCTAGACAGTGAAGAGAAAAGTGTCTACTGATGCACAGGAGTTGGACAAAAAAACAAGGTTGCGGTAGAAAGGCAAATCCACATTAGGAAGGAAGGAGGCTTTGGGCCTCAACACCAATCCAACCACGTGTAAAGCCACAATTACGTTCTACAAAGTACAGGCTTCTAGTTTACACATTTCAGAGTCAGTGGAAACCAGGTGACCCAGTGAGCACAAGTGGAAATGGGAAAAGTCCTAATAGGGTCAAATAGAGAAAAGGCTCTGGGAGAACTCAACTCATTCAAAGTTACAGGAGGAATTACATAATACAGACGGAACTACATAGGATACACCCTATACAAGCCTCAACAAGGAATGGAAATCTAGCATTTCTTAATAGGATTGCAAGATTGGAATGCACCCCTATGGTCCTTAGATGCAAGTAATATAAATCAAACCCGACTGTAAGCAGGACAGGATTCTGCCCACTGAAGGACAAAGCTGTGTTACTCACAACAGGTGAAAATACTGTGCATGACCAATGGCAGACTTGGCAGAAAGTAGGCTAGCTAACATATCCAGAGCTGGAATGGCCAATTCAGGGACACTCATCTTCCAGGACCCAGGCTACAACAGCCAGACCATTAGTCAGCTTCTGAAAAGTAGGATAGTAAAGCAGTCCAAAGGAATGAAGATAGACTTTCTGAAAGACTCCACAGGGCATTCACGAGTAGTCTGGCCAAGTGGAGTACTTTAGCCACCTGGGCCAATATGGAAATAGCAGATTTCACCCCCCCCTCCCCCCATGGAAATTTTCACCTCTAATAAAAAAACAATGCAGGGATCTGAATGATTGTCCGTTATTATTATTATTTGTTTCACCTAATGAATATTAGTGATAGTATAGAGCAGGAGGCTGTCAAATATACTCTATGTACAGTATTATTATTATTGTCATATTGTTTGTTTTCTTTTAAATTTCTTCAACTTACACTAATTGCAATATTTCACATGACTGTCATATTGACTGTCATATGCCTTTAAATGTTTTCTATATTTTGTCTCTGCTCCTCCCTTTCCTTTGGTTTAGTTAATGTTGCATAGATAGCCCTCCCCCTTTCCCAGAAATGCATTGCAGTAAGCCTCATGGCATGGAGCAAGAAACAGTATGATCTTTTGACCTATGGAATTTCATTGTTGTAAGATTCTCTCAGTTTATGGAATAAACTTCACAAGATCTACAAGATGTCATTCTCATTGAGTCACTGACTGCTATCCAACTGAGGTTGAAGTTATCGCTATCTTATCACAACTGTAAGTTATAGAGATCACACTATCAATGCTTAGATTGGAGAGACAGAACACTAATGGAGCTGCAGATACAATGATTTTCAGTAGGGGTTCCAAGTCCTAAATATGCATTCAGCGGTTACTCTGGGGTAAAAAGTTTGAGAAAGGCTGTCCTAGAGGCAGAAGCACATACCTAGAGGTTGAACACTGTGTCCCCTATGAATGCCCAGAGCAATTTGGTAATTTTTTACAGCTATTTATTTTAGAAACTTTGATCTGAAAACTGCAATTTCAGAAGCACAGGGCAAAGACCAAAGTCTGTATAGAAAACCCATGGCCTCAGAACAAGCTCACTGCAGAGATAAAGGAGTCAAAATGTCTGTGGGTTATTTTTCAGTTTTCTGATGTTTACCCCGCAATAGATATTGACTCTAAAAGAATGTAGAATCTCAGGATCTGAGTGCAGCGGTTTATATGAGAATTAGCTAGACAGACAGTTGTCAACAATTGGATGATCTGCAAAAGTTCAACCACTCTCTACATCTATAGCTATCCCAAGTGTGAACAGCCAGACCGGCTGAATGGCTGGATCTTATATACTGTTACCTTAATAACCCAATCTCAGATTAATAAATGCAATAAGAGCTCTTCTAAAACAACTGCACAATTTGCTAAATGGAATGTGACTCACCCTTTGTAAGTGCCATTTACTGGATTTTATGTATTCTGCATGAAATGTTAGCACGTAAACATTTGCTGGTAAATTAGTTTTCTCTGCTGACAATATGTTTTGAGATAAGCAGTGTACGCATTCCCTAGAGTGAAATAGCCAGTGGCTGTAATAATTTGACTCATATAAATACACTACCCCTTAGAAATGGTATTTACTTAATTAAGCAAGCCTTTCTCCTGCATACATTTTCTGAACACTTTGATATAACTTCCATTTTAAATGTAGCATTAATGTAACACACACATACTCCATAAATAGATAATGATTTGATGTACTGATTTGAGCAGCACAGTTTGAGTCTGAGGCATCTGTGCTTGTGATGCTGCTGTGCAGGATGATTACACAGTGGGGGCTGAATCAACTGCACCCAAATACATACTATTGCAGGATACATGAATTATTAGCGTAATCATACAAACATTTCTGCATGCTTGTGGGCACAGCTGAACACATTGAAAGATCAGTGCTTAAAGTCCTTTTTACAAAAACCTCTCAACTCCTCCCTAGCCTAATAAACACACATAGCTGATCTCCTCCTGTACTGTCTGCAGCCGGACTGGTATAAATCAAGTGCTGGGCAGTCCAAGCTTGTGCACCTTCACTAGACTTGAAAGGCATGTACACATACTGTAGGATCACTTGGGGGTACCTGTGTTTACTGTATTTAGGAGACTATGGAAATGGACTCACTCCCCTTAAAAAAAAAGAAAAAAAGAAGTTGACTAATCTAGTTAAAATTTCCCTTTAAAATTTAAAGGATACTTAGTTAAGCAAGCATTATCCAACACCGCAATAATCTGTATGTAGAAATAAGTTAGATAAAATCACCTGGGGATCTGATCATTGTTTTTGATATGTCCAGATCCCCCATGTGTGACCAGCCTTTAAAGCCCACTTCCAGATTAAGCTTTTTTCCTCCTTCCCATCCCTCCCTATCACCCACCTTTCAGCCATTTGCACATGATTAAAAAAAAATTATACCTTCTGAAGCCCCTTTTAAAACTCACATGAGTCAGCTGTATGATACCCTTTTAGCACTGCTTCTGAAAGTGATGACCGGTGGCAGGGGCGGACTGACAACTCATGGGGCCCCCGGGCAATAGGGGATCATGGGGCCCCTGTGTCCTTGCCCAAACTCAAAAAAACCTATGAAAAAGGTACCAGGGGCATCTCATGGGGCCCCCTACTGACCCCGGGCCCTCAGGCAGTGCCCGAGTTTCCAAATGGTCAGTCCGCCCCTGACCGGTGGATCCAGCACTGCGGTCTATCCTCGCTGGCTGGTCACCTCTGTGTAATGTCATAATTTGACAGCTAATAGAAAGTGGTTAGGAACTGCCTGGGTTGTGTGGACAACTCATAAAGAACCTTCCTACTCTGCACTGAAGAAGAGTTAGGAGACTCAGGACCTTGCTCACCCTGTTTGTGGGCATTTAGAATATCCTGTATATATTTTTTTTTTAACTAAACCAGAGATTGGGTGGGGCATGGAGTGGGGACTTTATGTCCTGAAGTTGGGTGGAGCCTTTTCCCTTGATAGAAACATGTAAATGAAGTGCAGGAAGTATATAAAACCATACATTTTTGTAAAAAGGATTAGTGGTTACACTTGGTGGTGACAAATGGTGCAAAGGTCCATTCTCCCACATTTTCTTCTATAGGAAACAAGAAAACCAAGAAAGGACCCCCGCTACACCTAAATGATTATTACTTATTCTAGCCCAACACCTATTAAGGAAAAAAAAAAGATTCTTAAATAAAGATGATGGCACCTTGCAGTTTACACATCATATTTACAAAAGCAGAAAGAATACTCATGGGTGTCTGACAAGCACCACATGTAAAGATACAGCAAGCTATTTTTTTTTTTAAAAAAGCTTCTAGGTGTTTCATTTTTTTACAATGTTTAAAGTTCAAAGTTTAAAGATCTAGGGACAAAATAGTTTCTTGTTCTAGTCCACTGCTGGTGTTGCTAGTTAAAAAAAAATGAAAGAAAAAATGAAAGAAAAAAATGTCGCTACTACACATTCTGATCTAACTGCCTGTCTTCCTGCATCTCTTCCACAAATTGGTCTACCTAACCTCTTTCTCTCCCCTCCAAAATCTGGTTTCCTTCCATTCTTCACAATCTGGTACTGTGAACACCTCTTTCACACTATGCTTTTTGTTACCTATGTATTTTCGCAACTGCTTGTTTGTGACCTGTGAATTGTGACATCTGCAGGTTTGTGGCCCTTGTATTAAAACATTTGACAGTTGATTGCCATAGCTGAGGATATTGTCAGGATTGTCATTTTTGCACCAAATTATTGCTAAGTCACCACTGTCTATAGGACCATATTACAAATATAATTCCTTGCAGGATATCAAACCATGCCACTATTATCTCCATATTTTGACCCCTATGTGAGTCATGGTCTCTTATTTCTGGCCATCATTAGTTTTTGTTTAATTTCATGATTATATAGAATAGTTTTGATATCCACATTTTGCTCCACACAAAACTGTGTATTTGTAGCTAAGCACAGAAATTGCCTTGGTTTGGTTTACAATAGTTTTACTGCTGCCCTACAATTTCAATAAATAATGAAATATTGAAAAGCACTATGCAAAGTAAACATGTCATGCAAAAAATATGGAGGCTGCCACTGCTGATCCTGAAAATCTTAAAATGTTAATTGTTTGGCTCTCATGTTACCCTATGGCTTCAATACCTTGAGTCACTAAACCAGAAAAAGTATGCAGATATGGGTTTGTAAATTTTCACTGATTTTTCTAATCTGTAAACATGATGGGGGTCACTGACTCCGCTAGTATTGCAGCAAGTTGCTCAGAATAACAGCTTGGCAAAAAGTCCATTAAAGAAGAAGGTAAGTAATGGCAGGTTGCATTATATATATCTTAAGACATGTTTATTGGGTTGCTTGTTGGCAATATCATAAAAACAAAGGAGAAAATAGTAACAAACACTGAGCTCATGTCCAGATAGGAGTAATCACTTAAAATGGAAGACCAGTCAAACACTATCTAAACTTAAACCTGCTTCCACTCCCATTCTAAGCCCTATTCTAACTACTTTGTAAAGGAAAGAAATTCATAATTTCCTATGCTGAGGGTGCTCCAGTCTGGCCACATGATCGGCTCCCAACACTGGCTTTAGTGTAGAGGAGGGACAGCCGACAATGGATGCTTATGAGAGAAGTTACCGTACAGGCATTGCAGCCAATGCCAGTGGCCACTTCTCTTCACTGAAGGGGAAGATCATGTGACCAAACCGGAGTGCCTTCAGAATAGGTAAGTACAGATATCTTTTCTTTTACAGGATAGTTAGTATAGGGTTTAGAATGGGGGTGAGAGCAAGTTTAGGCTCAGACAAAATATTTGACTGGACCTCTGCTTTAAATAATTTAAAGCAGAACTCCATGTACATTTTTAATTTTCCCATGCAGTGGGGCTGTGCCTGCACTGCATGGGAAAACTGCTTGTTTTGTCCAGGGGTTTAGGGAAGAACTATACTCACCATGTCCTCCGATTCTCTGGAAAATCGCGCTCCCCCATGTCCAGCGGTGGTCTGTTCCTGTTGTCCTCACATCAGGAGCTAATCTATGGGCATGATGATGTCAGGAACAGTACATTCACAAGACTTCTAGCATGCAGGGGGGCAGAAGCGGCAGAGACCAGTCTTGTGCTCCGAGGATCGGCGGATTCATTATGTATATCTTTACTGTTATCACTCTCAGACAAAAACGAGTAGTTAGCCCATGCAGTGCAGGCGAAGCGCCTCTCCATGGTTCAAAAACAGTTTTGCCTGGATTTCTGCTTTAATCATTTTGAACACTTCAACAAAACTGATATAACTACGGGTCTACTTTAAACCTAACTCTCCTTATATAGCTACGCCAGGCATTCAGACAGCACATTCAGGACTGGAATATGGATAATGAGGCTATCATCGCTAATGGTCATTCTGAAAATGCTAATTTTCTGCCTGTCATGTTTACCCCCTTTCATCAATTATGTGCATCCTTTAAATGGAGCAATGAAACAAGTAAAGATATCTTACTTTACAGGTAAGCATATTTGTTCCTGGTCAGTGATTCAAACTGAACCCAGTTAGTATGTTAGCCAAAAAAATGGGCATCTGAAGCTCATACTGCTTCTATCAAAATTTAACTCCATAAAAGTGACAGCAGGATTAAATGCAGAAGATACAAGTACCCTACATTGTTTACATTACAGATCACAACTAAATCTTACCTTGCTTCGAACACAGTGCAGCGCAGTTTACGAGACAATTCGCTGTTTATTATTTCAATTTTGAGGTGAATTTCTCCTTGAACTTCTTCATCAGGATCAATTTCTGTTAAATTCATCCATCCATTGTATCCTACACAAAACACAATATTACTCATTAAACTCTGCTTCAGCCTTCAAATGCTCAATTTCAAGGTTGTTCTCTACTTAACCGCTTCAAAACTGCCCTATAGCAGAACTACTGCTACATATATACTTGATTTTGTATCTCCATTGGCGGCTTCAGCTGTCGATCACTGGGTCCCAGACAGTTATTCCCTGCCGGCACCCGGCGATCGCCGAGTATCACTGGCTGAGGAGAGGTCTGTATGTAAACAATACAGATCTCTCCCGTCAGCTCCAGCATGCTGCTTTGTATTGCTCTGCATAGCAAAGCAATACAAAGCAGTGTGCTTACACAGTAAAGCACAGCACACAGTAAAACACACACAGCACACAGTTAACCCTTTGATCGCCCCAGATGTTAACCCCTTTCTGCCAGTGTCATTAGTATAGTGTCAGTGCTTTTTTTTTAGCATTGATCACTGTATTAGTGTCACAGGGGATGTCAGTGACAGGCAGTTCCCCCACAGTGTCAGAATGCCTGCTTCAGTCCCGCTATAAGTTACTGATCGCCGCCATTACTAGTATAAAAAAATGAAAAAATAAAAATTCCAATATACACATATATATATACAGTTGTGTTCGAAATAATAGCAGTGTGTTGAAAAAAGTGAATAAAGCTCAAAATCCTTCTAATAGCTTTTATTTCCATACACACAAATGCATTGGGAACACTACAAAATTCTATTCCAAATGAAAACATGAAGAAAAATATATCAAATGTGTGTTGTTCCTCTAAAAAAATTGAAAAAAAGTGAATATTAGATTGTTCAAAAAAATAGCAGTGTTTGTATTCTTCTTTACAAACTCAAACATTCACTATATAAACTGAAAAATGTTTGAAGATTTTGCTTTCCTCTGAATCACTTAATTAATATTTAGTTGTATAAGCACTGTTTCTGAGAACTGCTGTACATCTGTGTTGCATGAAGTCAACCAACTTCTGGCACCTGTGAACAGGTATTCCAGCCCAGGATGATTGGACTACATTCCACAGTTCTTCTCTATTTCTTGGTTTTGCCTCAGAAACTGCATTTTTGATGTCACCCCACAAGTTTTATATTGGATTAAGATCCGGGGATTGGGCTGGCCACTCCATAACGTCAATCTTGTTGGTCTGGAACCAAGATGTTGCACATTTACTGGTGTGTTTGGGGTTGTTGTCTTGTTGGAACACCCATTTCAAGGGCATTTCCTCTTCAGCATAAGGCAGCATGACCTCTTTAAGTATTTTGATGTATTGAAACTGATCCATGATCCCTGGTATGTGATAAATAGGCCCAACACCGTAGTATGAGAAACATCCCCATATCATGATGCTTGCGCAACCATGCTTCACTGTCTTCACAGTGTATTGTGGCTTGAATTCAGTGTTTGGGGGTCGTCTGACAAACTGTCTCCGGCCACTAGACTCAAAAAGAACAATCTTACTTTCATCAGTCCACAAAATGTTGCGCCATTTCTCTTTAGGCCAGTCAATGTGCTCTTTGGCAAATTGTAACCTCTTCAGCACACGTCTTTTTTTTCAACAGTGGGACTTTGCGGGGGCTTCTTGCAGATAGCTTGGCTTCACATAGGCGTCTTCTAATTGTAACACTACTCACAGGTAACTTTAGACCTTCTTTGATCTTCCTGGAGCTGATTGTTGGCTGAGTCCTTGCCATTTTGGCTATTCTTCTATCCATTTGAATGGTATTTTTTCGCTTTCTTCCACGTCTTTCAGGTTTTGGTTGCCATTTTAAAGCATTTGCGATCATTTTAGCTGAGCAGCCTATCATTTTCTGCACTTCTTTATATGTTTTGCCCTCTCCAATTAACTTTTTAATCAAAGTACGCTATTCTTTTGAACAATGTCTGGAATGACCCATTTTCCTCAGAATTTCAGAGAGAAATGCACTGTAACCAGCATGTACAACATTTGCTGCCTTCCTTCCTTCAATAAGGGCAATAATTGCCACCTGTATTTCACATTACCTCACTAATAGAACTCCACACTGCTATTATTTTGAACATGCCCCTTTCAATTAGTGATTCAATTACACAGAATCAGCAGCATGCATGTCATGACTGTTGGGTCTGTTGGATTTCTATTACTCTACTACACCTGCTAGTAAATTATTTGCCATGTAGAAATATCATTTCTACCAAAAACAGTGATTGATCCAGGTTAGTGATGTCTGACTGCTATTATTTTGAACACAACTGTATATATATATATATATATAAGCTCGAAGGAGCAGGGCCCTCGAACCCCTCGTGTATCGCATTGTATTGTTATTGTACTGTCGCATGTTCTGTCTCCCTTTGTAATGTACAGCACTGAGCGAACCGTTGGTGCTTTATAAATACTGTATAATAATATATATATATATACCACCATTTGTAGACTCTATAAGTTTCATGTAGACCAATTAATTTACAGGTATTGGGATTTTTTTTAGCAAAGACATTTAGCAGAATACATTTTGCCCTAAATTTATGCCAAAATGTGATTTTTAAAATTTTGTTACTGGATATGTTTTATAGCAAAAATTTAAAAATAATGTTTTTTTTTGTCAGTCTTCTTTTGATTATAGCACAAAAAAAAACTGCACATGTGATCAAATGCCACCGAAAGAAAGCTCCATTTGTGAGAAAAAAAGGACATACATTTCATTTGAGTGCAGCGTTGCATGACCGCGCAATTGTCAGTTAAAGTAACGCAGGAAGGGGGATAAATCCTCTAGAGGGCAAGTGGTTAGAGTGTGAAGTATAGGGCATGGACTCATATTCGCCTTTGTTTTAGTGCTTACACATTGAAAATATTATTCTTTGGTCAGATATGATAAAGCAATCTGACACTTTTGCCCAAGTCAACTTTTATATACTGTACAGAAGCATACTCATATCCTGCAATTAGTGATTTGTAGCTAATGGCAAGGTCTTGTAGCCCTGGTGCTTATCTTCTTAATGTGGGAAAGAACAGCATGAAACTGGAGGAAAGTTTTTTCAGCTGATACTTTTAACCCCTGATAGCAAAAGTAGTAGTAAATTTCATTCAATCTGTTGTGCACCCTGGTATTCGAATTGTTTAATTATGCACAAAAAATCGCAAGAGCAGGACAATGGGAGTTTACCATCTATGACCATTTTAGAGCTGACTTCCAGGCAGATATAAAAAAACAATTAATGGTTCGTAAGGCCTAAAGCCTTGGGCTGATTTGCTAAAGAAGTACATATTTTACTTAGTTGTCATTTCAATAATCCAGGCTGTGTTCAGATCTGGGTGATTCATAGCTAGTGTAGGAAAACAGAATTCAAAGCAATATAGCCTTTTTACATCATAGCACTGTAAATGTAGTGCAGTATGAAAAATGAAGCCTGTATCAATACATAATCATATACTGTGGCAATTTTGTATGGGACCTTATTGACGTTTAAGATATACAAACATAGAACATAAAAACTAATCATTTTATTGTGTGGATAATTAAAAACTTTGTTTTATACAGTATAAAACTAGACAGAAAACGGGCTGACATTATATACACCCAAAAATGATCATTATCCAATGTTTCTCTACAATTACGATACATTTAGAAATTCTTCCTCAGGGAAGAAGAGACTCCTTTCACAATATAAGAAAGTTTTTAATTATACACACAAGAACATTATTCATTTTTATGTATGTATATTACTATTTATTTCAGGTACTTGTATAGCACCGTCAATTTGCGCAGCGATTTACATATATATTGTACATTCCCATCAGTCCCTAACCTCAAGGGGTGTACAGTCAAAGATCCCTAACTTACATTCACGGGACAATTTAGACAGGAGCCAATTAACCTACCAGCATGTCTTTGGAGTGTGGGAGGAAACTGGAGCACCTGGAGGAAACCCACGCAGGCACAGGGAGTACATGCAAACTCCAGGCAGGTGGTGCCGTAGCTGGGATTCAAACCAATGACCCTAGTACTGCCAGGCAGACGTGCGAACCATTTAGCCACTGTGTACCTTGAACGCCTATAAAGTCTCATATAGAATTGTCATTGTACAAGATTACAAATTTGGGGGATCTTGGCATTCTCTTTTGGGTGAAATCACCTCCATATAGTTTTGGAATAGTTAATGGCCAAGCTAAAATGCACATGTAGTATAGTTTCCATATTTTAACATAGTATACTATATGAGCTGGAAAGATATTATTATTATACAGAATTTATATGGCGCCAACAGTTTACGCAGAGCTTTACAACACATACATAATTTGTTTATTTCAGGAAAGAAAATGCAAAACATATTGTTTGATGTTATGAGTCCTAGATTGTAAGCTCTAAGGAGCAGGGCCCTCTGTTTCCTCTTGTACCGAATTGTATTGTAACTGTAATGTCTACCTTCATTTTGTAAAGCACTGCGCAAACTGTATATCCTGTATAATAATAAGTTAAAAAAGCACATCAGTGAACAAAAAACAACCAACAAGGATGCCACAACAAGCATTTAAAAACTGCATGCATTTTCCCAATGCAAAGCGTGAATCCAGCCTAAATCGAGTGCAACTGAAGGTCCCTATTTTCTTTCCTTTGCACATGACTTATAGCTTCATTTTGCTAACTGCAGAAGACAGTAAATCAGCCCTACCCTTTCAGAACTAGTGAACCTTCTCACAGAGATAATGTGTTGACAAAGTCCCTTCAACTGCTTAAAAAGCATGTGATCTGCTATGACTAAGAATTCCACTGAAAACTCCATAAATAGTTTAAAGTACATACTTCCCTGGCTTGACGTACATACTGTATTTGATTTGAAATCTTCCACAATGCTGTAATTTCAAGTTTAGAACTGGGAAGTATTTTCAATCATCATATGGAAGTTTCAAGAGTTCAAATTAGCCCACAAATAAGCTCTCATCTGATAAAACTGGACTTAGCCCGCATCCACACTGATGCGGTGCGGCATACCGCATGTGATTCGCACAGGAACCGCACT